GTTGCTCATTGTTAATTTAAGAAGTTATGACACAAAAGTCCGGCTCGCCCACCCTCGCTGCAGGGTTATTGAGTTTGGCTGTGCAATTTCTGAGGACAGCCCCCTCCACCTCCCTGTGTTGATGTGCATGTGACAGCGTGCAGGTCTGAGGGGAGGAGCTTGGTCAGCCACAGTTCTGCTCTTTCTGAGCAATCAGAGCTGATCCAGGGAGTCGGCCCGATGAAATATTCAGCCCGTTACAGTCAGGCTAGCTCTCAGGAGAAGGAGCGCTGTATTTATGTTTTCCCTTTGTTTTTATCAAGCCTTTATACCAGGAAACTCCTCAGAGCACGGATGCTCTCTGTCAGCAGTCCCCAGCGTCCCATTCATACAGACAAAACACAGTCATCTATTACTGTTTGCTGAACAGCTCCTCTGGAGCAGCTGGGGCTATGAAGGTGCGATCATAAAGGTTTATCCAGCCCCATCTGCAGGGTTTATGGAGCTGTTGATCAATATTGATGATTCGACTATTACCTCAATGTGTGCAGAGGTATCTGGCTCTTTGTAGTTTGCGATACGAGTTTCAGTGTGCTCCCTATTCTTTGCAAAAGGGAGCTGGTGCCACTGGATGGAATGAGCTACCTTCTTTATTTTAAGAAGTAGTCTTTTCTGGGTGTCTATGACACTTTTGACCTTGTCTGCTCTCAGTTTTCTAGTTCTTTAGTTCATATTTTGCGATATATTTTACAATCATGTAAGTTCAAGTTCAGTCCTGGTTGATACGCCGATACTTGTGGTCACTGGTGGTAACAGCAAGTGCGGTTTACTAAAACAGGTCACCAGGGGGGAGCAAACGCTCGTTGAGCAGCTACTTGTCACGAAACACGACAGAATAGCAACAGGGTGCGGCCAAACAAACATTTTTACAAAGAAGTCAGTCAACAATCAGCCGTTTTCAGTCATATTACAAGCAACAGCGATATGATTTCATCCCGCAGGGCACAGTAAACTTGGCTACCTTGCTGAGGAGTTGGAGCTTTCATGTGCTCTTCATCTAACAGCTCACTGTGGCTGCTCCCGACTTTTCCACTGCTCCCTGCAACATTTAAAACTGATCCACTGTCAAAACATGCCTAAAATATCTGTATTCTTATTTTCTAGAAACATTTTTAATGAACTGTCAGGGTCAAGGGGACAAAGGCTTTGCATTTCATGTGAATGCATCACAGTAGTTGAGCAGCAGCTGATTGATACAGCTGTAGGAGAGTGACAAGTAAACAGTAAGGCTGATTACGTGCTGCATCATTGCTGACCATAAATAGTGTCAAAAATGAAGCTTGAATTTATGGAAATCTTTAATATGAAACCCTGAATGCCTGTCTCCGTCTTAATCATTTTTTTTTTACACATATATTCTAAATAAAAAAACAAAGATGAATTACTTAAAGCTCCTTTCATTGTCTTTATCAATTGCACTTTTTTTTTATTGGTTGTTGTGCGAAGACAGCATCAGGATACACAGCACATTTTGTATGTGTATTTTGCCGTCTAGCTCTGTAGTATCATCTGTCGAGGGGAACATGTTCACAACCTCTTCGCGTGTATTTCTTGTAGATTGCCTTTCCATCCAGCAAGTTATTTTTGCTTTTTAGTCTGTTCCATTGTACTAACTCAGTTTGTTTAATAATGTGAATTCGCTTGTAGAATTACATTTACAGAAGTGAATGCAGAATCTAAAGAGCATCTTTACTTTGTGACTCTAACAGCTATTCACTGTCATTATAACAATTAAGTAAGAGTTACCCAAGAAATATTTTGAATCATATTACCCACAGTTCAGACTAACTCTCCAGAAGGGAGATTTTCAATATTGTATTAGAGAGGCCACCCTGGGAGAGAAGAGCGATATGTTGCAGTCAGGGGAAGCGGCACAGGATTATTCTCATGCTTTCATAAGAATTGGAAGTCAGTGAGCTTCTTCACAGCCATCTGCTTCTGCTTTCTCATATTGTGATGATAGACTCCATGGCTAACCATCCTCTCACTGCTGTTTCGTCATTCTTCTTTTTGTATCCCCCGTGTAAATGTGCAGCACTTCATGTTATCAAGCTCAATTTGTCTCAGTTTGGGGGAAATTAATAGTGATGTGGGAAAAGTGAACCATTTCTCACTTTAAAAGAAGCTTGACTGATATTGAGATGTGCAATTAGGCATAAGGAGCAATTAGCACTCGAGAAAGACCACCTGTGTCTTTGATCTCTCCTAAAATTCTCTTCGCCTCTCTGTCTTACATCTCTTTCATGCTCTCAGAACCAGTACACAAAAAAAATGAGTTGTACTTATACAAATTACAGAGGAAGGACAAAACCTGTGTTTTGGAGTGCAGCCAAGTCACTTTAGACTGATTCATTTTGTTGCGAGCATTAAATTTGGCTCTGTCTGCCCTTGTTGTCTGTCACACACTGAAAGCTGGTCTCACAGGAAGCTGCAGAGTGCACTGCAACTCCCCTGTCACCTTTGAGGAAAGTAAAGCTGAGCTGAGGGATAACTTTAAATCAGATTGTCAAGGTGACCCGGCAGCTCCTGTCACCGCCGAAATTTAAAGAGCCAACACCAACTGCACATTTAACCCTGACACTCGGAGATATTCCTCAACTTGCTGTTGTCTTCTTTGAACAAGTCAGAAGCAGTCAGCTGCTGTCATATGGCGGCGCCCTCCATTCAAAACAAAGCCACGCAGCAAAGACGGGCTTAAGTGCAGATGTGAGGAAATGATTAGAGGGAAACAAACCAGTCATGTTTCAAAGGCATCGATTTCCACAGGCTCTGTTTGCAAGAAATGCCTCAAACACTCGGTTTGACTTCTGTTTGATATCAGAGCTCCACTCACAGCAGCCTCTTTTCTATAAAAGAACTGCAGTAAAGCTGTAGATACACAACAGCAAAGCTCAGAATGACAGAATGACAGCAAGGATGCCATTTATGTTTTTGTATGACAAGCTGCTTCATGCTTTAAACATCCATTTCTGAGACGCTTTCCCGATAATGGCTTTGAATTGCAGGAAATGAAATCTCAAAATGAGTGAATAAGGATGGCAAAATAAAAAAATTCAATAACACAAAGGCCTGTTTTCTTTTACCTTTTATTTTTTCATGGTTTGTTCTTTTCCAAATATGTTTTTTTTTTTGCCACTTGGCGACACAGAGACTTCCAGAAATGGGATGTTTTATTTTCTCAGCCTAAAATTCTGCATAATTTGTATTAAAATAAAATATTACATACAGTGTTAATATCCCATCCTAAAGCAAAATCTGCATTTTTTATTTTTATGCAGTTATGGGTCATAGACCCGGTCAGATTTTGACCGTGAAGATAAATGCTGCTCATTCTACATCTGTCATAAGAGCAAATCAATTTCGCACTGCACCAGTGGACAACTGGGTTGTCTGCTCTGCACTACATAAATTACAGACTTTTTACAGGTGTCAGGTGAATATAGATAGACCGTCTATTCTAGCAACAGCCCTTTACATCTCCACAGAAAGAGGTTCCTTAACATTTATCATAGCAAGATTCTGTGAAGAAGTTTGCTTTTTTCATTGTCATAACTATTAACACTCTATTTAATAAAAGGATGCAATAAACTAACTTTTTGTTGTCATTATCTTCCGGACAGCTACTGTACACGTCCGCACATCTCCAGCTCGCCCACATTTCCCTCCCTTCCTCCTTTGTGAGCCTTTTAAAAAATGAGTCATTATTCTCTCATTTTCAGCCTGCCTTCAGGTTTCATGCCGTCTGCCATGAATTATAGATAGCAAGCCTGAATTGACTTGCTGGAAAAAGTGTTATTAGCTTCTGGAAGTTGTTTCAGATTTTTACTTTTAAAATAAAATTCAAATGCAGGGTGTGTTTGGGCTCTGTCAGACTGAAAACAAAAGTCATTGTGGCTGTTGACAAAGACAATTGTTGGCTATTTTGTATAAATTGTTGGCCGTTTGTTCATATTCATTGTCACCTCTGTGTGTGTGTGTGTGTGTGTGTGTGTGTGTGTGTGTGTGTGTGTCTAATAGTAAGATTTTTTAAACTACACAGACACACACACAGGAGACATAGACACACATAAACGCCAATGCAGATGAGACTTGACATGTTGGCATGGAAACCAATTAGTATTTGTGGGTGTGTCCATACTGTACAAGCATATATGTGAGCTTGCTGACATTTCATTGTGTGTGTGTGTGTGTGTGTGTGTGTGTGTGTGTGTGTGAGAGAGATAGTTAGAGAGAGGACAATGAAAGAGAAGAAGAGCTAATAAATTATTATTGAAGGTGATTTATTGTGTCTGATAGCTGAAAATGGGTTTGCAGATTAGAGAAACATATTGCAGGAGTTTTCAGGGCTGTAATTCGGTTGTAATTAAACAGAGTGTGTGTGGAAATGATCGCTGTTCGATCCATACGCTCCTCACTGAGGGGGCTCTTGGTGTCTGTCAGCCTTCAACAACAGCTAAGTAATCACAGCCCTAATGAAGATCCTTTTATTCCTCCACATACTCAGAGTTAATGAGAAGCTTAACGATTAATGAGGCGATGCCTTCTTTTTTTTTCCTCTCAAAAAATAACTCAAATACCCACGAATCAGTGGGGCCCAAAAAAAGGAGCACAGCTGTTTGAAGAGACAAATTTGGCAATTACTAATGATCTACAAGCCTGTTAGCCTAGCTGGTGATTGGAAACTGAGAAAATTGAACGTGTTCTTCATTCCATGTCTTTTTTTCTGCAATCCTTCAGTGATATTTAGGACAAAGTTTTAATTGGAGTAAGATGATGATGATGACAGATGGATTGCAGGCTGTGTGCTTGTTAGTGGAGCTCTGCTGTGTAAGGTCAGAAGAAAAACGCTCCACAGCTATTACACCTGCTACTTAACTAACTACTTAAACTAGAAGGCTCCAAATCAAAACTCAACTCTGACCTTACCGACTTCCTTCTCCTCCCTTCCTCTCCTCCTGTAGTTGGGACGACAGCAGCTCGGTAAGCAGCGGCTTGAGCGACACGTTGGACAACATCAGTACGGATGATCTGAACACCCCCGCCTACTCAGCTGTCAGCTCATCACGCAAAAGCAAGGGAGTGCAGGTAAGGACACAAGCATTATCAATTTATACTATACAATTTATATCTGGTATCTGTGGTAAACATGGTAAATATTTTACATGCTAAACATCAGCATGTAAGCATGTTACAATGCTAGTGTTAGCATTTAGCTCAAAGCACCAGCAAGTACAGCCTCACAGAGGATGTATTTGCCTTTCAGTAGCTTGTAGGTGGAGTTAATCAATACCAGTGGTACAGTGATACCTTCCTAGCCGGAACTTGTTTTCTGCCATATTTATATAACTAAAGGGCCACTTCTCTTATTTTACATGTGAAGTTCAGTTTACTCTTCACAAAACATTCTTACACTTTTTCCTTATCAAACTGAAACCGTCCACCTTCTTCTGAATTCAACTTTCTCTCTTTTCCTGAACTCATTGCCTTGGTAACTCATCTTAAAACACACTTCATTCAAACTCAACAGAAGCAAAATTAAAACTCACCAAAACCATCGTGGTTAGTCTTTCCACTGTTCCAACAATCACCCAAACCTCTGGTTTGGTCGAAATAAACTCTTATTCACCAAGTTGTGATGATATTCTGGCCCGACACGCTCTCTGATACTTAACCTCCCTCCTGATTCTCTCCCGCTTAATACCTCTCCTGCCCCCCACAGTCTTTAATGAAAGATGCTGTTGAGTTGCCTAGTGGAAAATGCAGGTAGTGTTTTTGTAGCTTGACCCAGACTAGGTAATATAGTCAGGACATGTTAGCAATTTTGACCATTCTTTCTTTAATCTGTCTCTTGTGAGTCCCTCATCTTTAACTTTCAGTTTAACACAAACATGAAAGGGAAAGTATACAAAGCATACTATATAATAAATTCTATTGGCAGATCTGGCTAAATTTGTTGAAATGCGGCGTTATAAGCGTGCTGGTTTAGCATGAAATCAAGGCTAGTCTGAATGAGAGCTCTGAAATCACAGCTGAGGGAATTAGCTGCAGACTGAAGTCCACCCCTCGGCGCTCCTCACAGGCTTTTGCTGTATTCTGCCAAGTATCGTTGGCCTCTCATGAAATACTCAACAGACTGGGCTCTTAAGAGACTCTGGTGTTGCTAGGGAGACTGGCCATCTGTCAAGGTAGGCTAGTTATCACTGCTGTGTGTGTTTGTGTGGGTGTGTTTGCATGCGTCCCAAAAGAGGAGATCTGGACATGGATGACTCCAAAGATAGCTACGACTTAACACACAGACACACACCCTGCTGCTCTGTTGGTGCAGAGACTTATATCTCTTTGTAGTGGATGTGTGTTTAAATAAAACTTCTTAAAGGATACTACCAGAGCTTTAGTATGTTTGAGATTATTAACTGCAAAAAAACAATACATGACATCGAATTTATCTTCATTATGTCAAGAAGATGACTGAAATACCTTTAAATTGCTTGAAATTGGTAAATATTGTGCATTTATGTTGCCTGCATGTCAACATTACACTTTTATTACATGGTACTGTAGTGGTGACTTTAGGAAACCGCAGTTTCATGATTTTACCGATCCGTCTATTAATATCTTTATGTGCTTTCTTTGGCACCCACCACCATCACCCTCCAGTCCCAGCGAGGAGGCAGGTCCAAGCATGCAGAGCAGGAGGTGAGCAGCAGCTGGGCCGGAGCCGAGGACCTGAAGAAGGTGGAGGAGGAGCTGGACGCAAGCATGGACCCCGGCAGCGGCTCCTCCCGCTGGAAGCCTTCCGCATCCTCCTCTTCATCTCAAGCCCAGGGCCAGTACGAGGACGCCGGCCAGAAAGCCGCTGCGCTGGCCCAGATGTCCCAGACAGGCTCATGGAGGAGGGGCATGACGGCCCAGGTGGGCATTACTCCACCCAGGAGCAAGGGTACCTCTGCTGCCCTCAAAACACCAGGTAGGAGATGCAACACGTTGTCTTTTATCTTTAAACAAACGTGATCGGTAGAAATGCAGTAGGACACTCGGTGTGTAGAGGGTATTTTTTATTGACACAAGATGCATCAGTGAAAAACAGTTGACACGTATTATATTTATTTCTATATAATGATACAGGTAGTCAAACAAAAAGTTGAAAAATGTCCATGTTTAATTTTAAAAAGGATCATTTGTAGTGTGTTTAAGCTTGTTTTCCTTTCAGATTAAATAATGATAATTATTTATGATCTCAGCCAACAACCCAACAACTTAGAAACTCACCTAGAGAAACTTAAACCCCCTATACAGACACATAACATTAGCGATGGCGCCATTCTATTCAAGTTCCAGTAAACCGTGACAGCGTGAGCATGCACAACACCAGCAGCATGAGAGGGAAGCAGCTAAATGGCATTCGGTATTTTATTATTTAAACCTGTACTTTTTTTGTGGTATTTCAAAATGTCTTTAGTGAAAAAGGCCTGTAATGTGCTTCATTTATACACTACTATTTAATATAGGAAGAACATTTGGATTTGGAACATTTTGGAATGAATTATGCGTTGCAGCAGATTTGTTGCCTCTGCCAAAAAAATATTTTTCACAGATACCTGATAGTGACTTTGCAGCTGCTCTCACATTTTCAGCCCACTCTGCAAGTTTAGCAGCCTTGTTGCAGACAAGTATTGGTTTTCAATGTAGCTGATCTGCAATAAACAGGCTGCTGGCTGTTGGCCAAAATGTGCACTAATTTGGCTTTTCCTGCTCTGTGGCACCACAGGTGATAAACAAGTGCTGGGCCAAGAATATGCCGAGGGTAATGTTTTTGTATTTGTGCTAATAAATGTTTATGCAAATTGACAGGCAAAACCGATGATGCTAAGGCCTCTGAGAAGGGCAAGGCGCCTTCCAAGAGTTCAGCTGGCATCCAGCGCTCACCTTCAGATGCTGGGAAGAGTAGTGGAGATGAAGGTAAGAAACCTCCCTCTGGCATTGCACGCCCACCAACCACTGGTTCTTTTGGATACAAGAAAATCCCTGGTCCCACTGGTACCCTAATCACCTCCAGTGGTGCAACGCTCGCCAGCGGCTCAGCCACCCTGGGCAAGGCGCCCAAATCTTCAGCTGCCCTCGGCAAAGGCACAGGCATCGGTGGTGTGCGTAAGACCAGCCTTGATGGCTCACAGCCCCAGGATGACGGCGTTCTACTCAACTGCAGTGGCTCCAAATTGACCCTGCAGTACCGCTCTCTACCCAGACCTGCCAAATCCTCCAGTGGGGGCGCAGCAGGGCGCAGCGGGCATCGCTCCAGTTCCAGCAGCATCGACTCAAACGTTAGTGGCAAGTCAGCTGGAGGGGCAGCGACACAAGCGGGTGCCAAACGCAGGGACGGAAAAGTGGGCTCAGACCGCTCCAGTCCCATCTCCATTAACCAGACAGACAAGGAGAAAGTGGCGGTGTCAGACCAGGACACAACAGCAGGTCTGTCCACCTCCCCCAAGTCCAGCCCTACCTCCAGTTCAACAGGCCAATCAGGCCTCAGGCAGCCTGGCTCCAAGTACCCCGACATTGCTTCTCCTACGTTCCGCAGGTCAGACACACAAAACATGCCTACAGCTACGGTTCTGTCTTTGTCCCTCACCATGTGTGTTTCTACATGAATCAAACATTTCACCACATATTTCAGTCCCTTGATGAATACTAAAAAGATGATTTTTGCAGTACAGCACACATGCCTTTAGCTGCAATATAACTTTAAATCCTATTTTTAAAAGATTTACACGATCACATCATGATCACATCGACACATCTATTTCAGAATTTGAGCGTGTTTCCATTCATTATGATGAACTAATGTTTTCCTGATGCAGGCTGTTCCCCAGACTCCTGTAACAGATTTGGGCATTTATTGAAGACGTCATCTATAGTTGTGAAGTCTCACCGGGCAAAAATCTCATCTTTGTCAAATTTAGATATGTTTGGATGCACAAAATGAATAAAAAGACACTTAATACATCATATTTCAGCACCTTCATAGAAAAAATCGATTGAGCAAGTATAATCGGCTGCACAGCCAAGGAGTGCCATTACATAGATGAAATATATCTTTATCCCGAAGCTGATGGTCTGATGGCTTTTAATTCAGGTCAGGCAAATCTAGCTTAGCAGTCTTGATAAGAAGAGGAGACAGGAGTTTCACATCGGACAGGCGCTCCAATTGCTGACTCATTACGAGCATGAGTTCGGCAGGCGTGTCCAAACATCCACTCCATCCGATCTGTCAAGCCGACCCGTTTCATCTGCATGTCTTCAAGTTTTTTTTTTCCTCCTCCTATATATTTTACGTGATTGTAATGACAGACCGGGACAGGAGCAGTATCAGTAGCAAGCTGTCTGAGCATATGTGGGAGGCAAACAGAGTTCAGTGGCCTAACAGATTAGGTTCTTTAAAGTCACAGCGTTGAAACGGGCAAAGCTGTGAAAGCAGATGTGTCAATGTAAATTACTGAGAGTTCACAACTGAAACAAGGTGGAGTTTGCTGTGAGGGATAAATCTGTTGGGAAGTGTATTTGATCTGTAGTTTAAAGGTTGTGTTTTTCACTCTACTGCACTGAGTTTCTTGATGGGTGTGACCAATGCAGTGATATAACTTCATATGCAATATGCATTAGAAATTAACCTCAATGTAATCCACTTTCTCAACCCCAAAGTATTCCAAAGTCCTTCATTTTCCAGTATGGATCTTGCAGATGCTCATCACTTGTCCTTTGAGCATTTCTGAATGACTGCACCCACCTCTCTACCCCCAGATTGTTTGGCACCAAAGCCAGCAGCAAGGCCAGCTCTCCGGGCACGCCCGACTCTGGCAAGTGCCCCTCAATATTGGGCAGCCCCCACGGCACGCTGGCAAGGCAGGCCAGTCTGGACTCGCCCTCCTCTGGCACGGGGAGCCTGGGCAGCGCTGGCGGCCTGAGTGGTGGCAGCAGCCCACTGTATGGTAAAACCCCAGACCTGTGCACTGACTCCCCAGCTTCCAGCCCGGCCTCTGGCCTCTCCCTGCCCTCCAACGCTCGGCCCTGGCCTGCCTGTAGCTCGTCAGCTGGCAGCAAGGACACACTGAGCTGCCAAAGCATGACCAGTCTGCACACCAGCTCTGAGTCCATTGATCTGCCGATGGGCCACCACGGGCCCAAGGTTACACGAACCGGCAGTGTCAAGTCCACCCTGTCTGAAGGGTGAGTAACAGGGAATACGATTGGGATGAATCGTATTCATTGTTTCATTTGAGAACAGAGACAAAAAATGTATTCCTACCCTAAGATATAGAAATAAATGCAGAGGAAGTAATAAGAAGATGAATACATTCTCTCATCCAGCGCACAGCGTAGTTTAACTTTCTTTGTCTGGTGTGGTTTTGGTAATATCAAATCATTCATTAAAAATCTAAACTATATACATGCTGATTTTATATAGGTCAGTTTGGTCAGGACAGAAATGAAGCAGTCCTAATTTCAATTTCCCCATTTTATCTCACAGCATCTTGCTGATAACTAATCATTTTCCAAAGTCTAACCCCTTTTATTACTCACTGACCCAACTGATCTGCAAACTTTTGCACTTAATGCCAATCTTATTGTTTCTGGGCTCACAGTCAAGACAGTATTATCGTGGGTCCAAAGCCATGCCAGAAAAAGCACCTTAATAAATTAAGACCATTTTAGACGCTCATTCCCACGAGGAGTCTTTATTGGGGTGTTTCCATTGTTTTGTCCACACACTGTGCATGCAGTACATCACAGAACGTAGAATAAACAGGGCACAAGTTTATTTTCCCCTACTAGGTTAGATGTATGTCTCAAAAATGAAACAATTGATTTAAATAATGCCTGTGGTTTATATTTGTTATCTGTTGTACTGTGATGCATTAGTAAAATCTTTGTTTTCTCCATTGTGTATGTCTTTGTGTATATGTCAAGTTTGTTTGCAAAATGTTACCAAAGTCTTTTTCTTATTTATCATAAAAACAAATGTTTTCTGGTGTTCATCTAATTCACTCATCCTCTGTGTTTAACAGCATGCCTCTTGACAGAAACACGCTTCCCAAAAAGGGATTAAGGTACAACACATCTGCCTCCAGGATCCAATTCTCAACTGTTATTCTTTTATTCACTCATATAGATCATAAGTACACATTTGCATGAAAGTAATCATTCTGATATCAAGTGTGCATTCTGTGTTGTTGTACATGTTGTATAATGTGGCACCATAGCAGTGATTCCCAACCATGAAGACAATTGCTTGAGAATATGTGAAAATATGTTAAGAAGCTAAGCCAATTTGTATTCAAAAAAAAGAAAGAAAGAAAACATAGTGTATACTCAAATTGAGTAAGCTATAACAAGTTGCTTGCTAACTAGTTAGCTGCTAGAGCTAAGTAGTGGATAAATGTGGAATAGCTAAAGGTAACGGATACATGGTTGAATTATTTATCTAAAAGTAATAGATAAACAGGGAAAACAGTTAGCTTAAAGAAATTAACAAACAGTTAAAATGGTTAGCTTAAAGAAATTAACAAACAGTGAAAATAGTTAGCTTAAAGAAATGGTTGAACTGTTAAAATAGCTAAAAGTAGGCTAATGAATAAATAGTGCAATAGCAAAAAGTAATGGATACATGGTTGAATTATTTAGCTAAAGTAATAGTTGAAATAGTTGGATAAATGAGCTTAAAGTAATGGATAATCAGTTAAATAGTTTGCTTGAAGTAATGGATAAAAATTTGAATAGTTGGCTAAAAATATCTAGCACATGGTTTGTAAGTTGCTTTGGACATATGTGTCTGCCAAATGAACATAAAGTTATGTTAATGTAATAGATAAGTAAGATAGGTTAAACTAATTAGCTTAAAGTAATGGATAAATTGTTGAAGTAAACAAATTGTGATGTACTTGAGTTAATCTAACAGGGCTGTGGATGTACAACTGACAAAAAAGGTTGGGAACCACTGATTAATAGATTATTAAATCTTATGATTATCTCATGCAGCATTCACATTGCAGGGACACATTTTGGCACGTCAGACTAGCTGTGGATTAAGATTTTTTGCAGAAGACTTTATGCAGTACATGGCGCAAAGAAGAAATACAAAAAAATTCTCATCTGTTCTCACATTTTTATCTTTTACCTTTTCTTTTACCTCCACAAATTGCTGTGGCACGAAGTGATGATCTGATTTTATACTACAGATTCTTTCATTCATTTTATAAGTGAGGCGAAAAATTCTAAGCTGTATGAATGCTGCCTCAGATGATCAGGCATGTGTCCGTCTGTTTGTATATCTGCTTCTCCTTGTGCATCCTCATCTGATTCTCATCTTGTGCGCTGTTCAAAAAATGCAGCATACTCAGCCGCCATGACAGAGCAGTTCTTCCTCAGTTCCCCAAAATAGCCCAAACCTTCTGATAACATTTGCTCTGTTAGCCGAGGGGGAGAAGTAGAATGGATACTTTGAATTTAGCTGGGACTAAAGGGACTGAGACAGAAATGCCATAACCCCATTCATCACAGTGGCACAACCTCTGCAGGGAACCTCTCCAGTCAATTATACAGTACTGCTGCAGAGGGGTTTGGGTGGGGCAAGCTGGTTTCAAACCATTCTTTCATTTCATTGGCATATGGTGCTCATGCTCTTTTTGGGCCTAAATGCATAAATAAACTTAATGCCTGTTGGGTGCGATGTTCAGTGCAGACTGCAGTGTTTTCTTCTGAATGTTTTTTTTTATCACAAATATTTATGGCAGTCTGTTCACATGTTTAAATTAGGCAGCATTTTTTGCCTGGTCTTTAGATTTTCTACAAGAGGAATTTGCCCCCTTTAGTCATGTTGGTCCGGCTTATGGGCATTTTGAAAGTATACTGAGTCAAACACTGACCCTTGGGCGTTTCAGTGTGTTCCATTTCATCTCTAGTGAAGGAAGGAATGCTGCTGTGTCACACCATTCAACATGCTCTTAGACACCCAATCCCTTGTGGAGAGAATACGAAGCACAGACATGTCGGACTGGAGCAGGGTCAGATGTGACAAGCGTAGTAAAGGAATTGCAAGGAAGACAGCGCTGAAAAGGGATGAGTGCAAACTCAATTATCATCCTCAGAGGATTAAATATGGCCGATTGTCATGCCTTCGATAAGGGGGCCTTCTGTTGCTGAGCCACTTTGGAGCTGGGGGGGAGAAGAGATGAATAGCAGTGTGTTTGGCAGCTTTGAGCCAAAGCAGTATGTGTGTGTATATGACTATATGCTTGTAGATGCATGCATGTGAACATCTGTGTGGCTGCATGTTTTTTTGCCATCTGCTCACATGCTTATATTGTGTAGCTGTGCACTCATGTCATCACCAAACCACTTCGCTGCTTGGACTTCCAAATATCTTTCTTTTTGCCTTGAGTTTATTGGGTGTTTCTGGGTTTCAGGTACCCTCCGTCCTCCCGACAGACGTCCCATGAGGAAGGGAAGGAGTGGTTGAGATCCCATTCAACAGGGGGCCTTCAGGACACAGGGAGCCAGTCCCCACTGTCTCCACCTGGAGCTTCCTGCACGACTACTGGAAAATACCACTACTCCAACCTGCGTGAGTCTATAGGAAAAATCTCAATTGTACCAAATGTGGAATAGATAGCTAGAATTATACTGAAGTATGTCCATAGGCAGGGTGTTTTGTATTTGCTCTCAGTGATTTTACTTGGCAGCAATTCTGATTTAGGTTAACTTAAAGTACAGCACAAATGAACCATATAGTAAAGCAAAAATCAGTGAAGTGCATGGCAGGGAGGCTGTGGCCCAGAAGGTACAGCAGGCAAGATGCTGCCTAAATTGCTCCCGAAGGATGTGTGTTAATGTTAATTTCTGAATGTGTGTGTATGGGTGAATTTGACGTAGTGTAAAGGACTGTGTGTATAGAAGACCAGAAAGGCACTGTACAAGTACAGGCTAGCATTACCAAAATCTGAAAGCCTGAATTCAAATATTGCACACATAAAGAAATCAACAAGGGAAAGGAAAAGATGAATACCAAGGTAGCTAAAGCCAAATGGTCCAGATGTACTTTTTTAGGGCAGTGTTCACAAATCAGTTATTTTAAGGTTTAGAAGAAAATTGGTTGTATATTAGTGTGTTACTCTACTGTAATATTTTCTATATTATAGGCATACTTTATACTGTAGTTCCTGCATTCTCATCTTTCTGATGTCATGATAGTAATATTATATATAGTATATATTCTTTTTATTTTTTTTGTTTTCCTGACTTTGAATTGTTTTAACCAAGTTTGTAAGGCTCTTTAATTAACACTTTTGTATGTTCCTAAAGTGTGTGAAAATACTGTATGTGAAACGGGAAATGACATTGCCTTGGAAACAAAGTGAATGAGACTGAACTGTATGATTTAAATAAAACAATTTTTTCATATAGTGGTTAAAAATACCTTTACGTCTACAAAAATATCCTAGAACATGTGCAAGATTATTCTTCTATATCCAGCTGTAAATGGGTTCTTATTTCCTACATAAATGATTGATCTCTGATGCATTTCACGCATATAAAAATGTGACAGCAGGAACATCTTACTTATCAAAACTGACCTTGGCGTTTTTTTTTCCTCCATGCAGTGAGCCCCACTAACATCAGTCAGTATAACCTGCCACCAGGCAGCAGCAGCATGAGTCGCTCCAACAGCATCCCTGCCCAGGACTCCTTTGACCTATACGGAGAGGGTCACCCACTGGTGGCAGCGCAACCTCGCTGGAGGATCGACCACGGGCCATCAGCCGCTCCGGCTCCTTCAGGGACAGCACTGACGAAGGTAGGACACACTCTGGGACACAGTCTTAAAAACACTCTTTAAATGAATGTCCCAAAAATGACCTCCCCACTAAGAAGCCATTAGAAATGATTTTAGAGCCACATTCACCAAAGCAAAGTCCTATCAGTCATCAAGTACTTTAATACCAGATTTAATGAGCTCTCGCTGTGTGTTCACTCTGTGAGTGACTTGTCTGATGGGTCGCTCTGTTCTGATCTTTTTGTGGGTGATGTAAGAGGCTGCGGCAATCACAGCCTCTTACATCCGGATAGAGGTCAGCTTTTTAACGGGCAAATCTTGTTTTTTCTTTTCATGCTATACACAGCTCACATCATGTCAACAAGTTACCATAGCTATGAAGTGCTGATCCGTCAGCTGGTTAATCAAGAATAAATATGGAAGCAATTAAAATTACTTTAGAACTCACTCATTGTCAGATTAATTAGAAAAGGTAGAATATTTTATGGTCTCATATAATTTTTTGTCTGTAGCATTGCCCCTAATTTTTATTTATTTATTTATTTATTTAATTTTTTTTATACTTGTCCTGCCCAGCAGCCTGGTATGGAGTGTAAGGAGCTGGATACCCTGTTGTGCCAGACAGATTTTTCTTTAACAAGAGAATTTTAATATACTCTTTGTCTGTTTTATTTATTTATTTAAATATGGATTGATTTGTCGGCGAGCTGGACAGGAGGGCAAAAATGGGGATGGGGGTACAAATACCACACAAACACACAGACACCACAGAGAAAGGACAACACTGCAAGAGAACGGGGATGGGGGGTGGGGACAACAGGAAAGACAAGAGGAAAACACCAATTGCAGAAAGCATTACTCATCGTTACTCTCCACATGTGCTTACAGTCCATGGCTCTTCATTGTCTCTGGTCTCCAGCACGTCTTCACTGTACTCTGCGGTAAGTAGCTGACCATATTTTCCTCTTAAATTTTTGGCTATTCAGAATTAGTGTAACAGTTAGATGCTGTATATCTATCTATCTCATGGTGTAAACTCACCATTAAAGCTGCTCCAATCACTGTTTTTGTATTAGCAATGTATGAAATGACTAAATTAAATGTGAAAGGAATTTCTCGTAGTGACAGATGCTAAATGTGTAAATGAGAAACTGTTTGCCAACAGGTTAGTCACAGTAACTTTATAAGGTGATAATGCATCAGTGTTGTGGTTCCAGCTTGTTTTGCTGCCCCCAAGTGGTCAAAAAAACTGTTAATGCAACTTTAAAGCTACCCTATTTTGTTAAGTCACACAACAGCCCAAAAACTCAGTACCACTCACACAACAGTGAGCTAGGAGGAAATTCTTGGACAGTGAGTTTGTGCTTTTAAACACTGATTTTTGGTGGAGGGTTTTTTTTTTTTGCTAACCTCAAACAGTTGCATACTGAAGTAACATTTTTAATGCTGAAATCGTCCAGACTTTTTTAATGGGACAACACAGAGTTAAATTTTCAGCTCTTACCAGGGCTGCAGAGTGGCATTAAATGTCACATCCACTCTTCCAATTTTTCTGTCTTGTCCGTCCTGTTTCTGTAGAGCCAAAATATAACTTTCCATCATGCTTCTAACATAACTTTGGCAGAGAAGACTCTGGATAAGTGTTTCTAATGGCACAGGCAGCGCTCGAATCTTAATGTTCAGTCAGGCAGCAGATTAGTTTTAGGGAGAAGAATCGATTACCACCCACCACTGCCTGTTTCTAATAGCACTCATGAGTTGCGGAGGAAAGGCCTGGATGAATAATGGAGATAGTTTTGTTTAAAAGTTTTCCCTCAGGTCGAATTCATTTGTTTGTTTTGTGGTCATCCAAACCATTTACTATTTTGTTGCTGATTTTATCCACTTCAACACCGGTGACATGTTCTTTCACTTTAATCTCATTTTTATTAAAGTTTGTTTTAATTCTCTTTTATGTGTTGGCCATTTCTTTTCATTGACGTTAAAATGCTTCTCATGCTGTATATTGAACACAGCACACAGCCTCTAATATTTTTTTTTTTTAATGATGTGTGCTTCTTCCTTACAGACGGAGGAGAAAGCACACTCAGAGGTAAGGATGGGAAACATTCCGTCTGTCTGCATGTCTGCTTCTCTTTCCCACCTTCCTGCCTCACATTCATACAGTTAAAATTGATTCACACCTTAAAGCTGCTGTACAGTAGCTGCAGTACTGCACTGTTGGCCACTGTGCAGCTCTGCAGGTACAGGTGGGGGTGCCTTGCTCATGAGCACCTCAAAAGTAGCTGGAAGGAGTTAGTTAGGTAGTTTCAATCGCCTGATTTTATTCTGCGATTCATGTCATCAACATCCATGTCACACGCATGTTTTTGGTGCCCTTCAGGTGACTGCAGGCTGTTTTTTTTCTGTTGCAACGTATCTATATATTTAGAGATAGTCCATCTATGTCAATCAAAGCACAAACATTTATTCAGCTAAATGTGGCCCATTATTAATGATCAGTTTGAACCAAAAAGTATATGTATATGAGAAAAGTGATGGTGGATAAAATGTTAACAAGTTCTACTATAAAGCAGTTTAACCCCATGTTGCATTGCTTCAGTAAAACTTTTGCATTTATTTCATCTTTATCATAAATAACCACACTACCTTACTGTGCTACATAGGTTATTTTATAATTAACTCTTTACAAAAATGGACACTATACATATGTAATGCATGCCCTGCCTTTTGTTTGTTTGGCTTCATTCAGCATTCCTGTTCAGTTTATCACTGACTCCTTCTTGATTTCCGTCTTTTTTGTCTCTGTACTTGTTAGCGCTTTAAGCTCAAGTTTGGATCAAACAGCAATGGCAAATACACTGTGGTGTTTGTTTTAACCCTGCCAGATGGGTGGAGTTTAGCATCTAGGCCAGCACATGCAGTGCAAACTGACAATCATGGACTTCAGTCACTGTGCAGTACCACAAGGAACCCAATTCTGGAACTCTTTCCTTCAAATCTGACTCAGATTTGATGCTTTCAGATCTTGAGACAGGTGACCTGCACACGACTTGAATTTGTCTTCATGTATTTGAGACATTTGCTTTTATGTTGGCACAACAGCAACCTGGCTAAGCAGTGTTGGCATGGAGAACGAGAAACAACAATCCACAGAAATCATAAAATGGACAATTTTTTATATTTCTATTTTTTAATTGTCAATGAAATGTGTTGGAAACCAGAGAAATATGTCCTTTGTTGTATTGTGTTGTCCACTTTGGTAAACTGACACATCTGGCACAACAGGTATTTGCAAATGCTATTTGACCCAGGTCAGAAATACTTACCCACATCTCTTGCTTTGCTGCTCAAAGTCTAACCATGAGACAACCAGAACTGGTGCTTGTGATAACCTCTGTCTCTCCAGTCAGTACATGCTGTTTGATGGAGGCATGCAACATAGTGTTAATTTTTACTCTTCTCTTTTCAATCAAGGGCCAAACAGTCCTAAATTCCACGGTAATCCCCCACACTTTGTGTTCACACTTCACCCCAGTGTCTTTTTACACAGCATTACCATGTAACTGCACAGTTTTTCACATCAAAGTTTTTAACACAGGAGTTGCAAGTTCAACGCCTCTTTGCATTACTATCAGTCTTATTTTCTTAATATTTTTCAGGAGCGTGAACTTTACGTTTACCTCTGTACTTTTCTTCCCCAACCAGCAAATCAGAAAGCTGCGTCGGGAGCTGGACGCCTCTCAGGAGAAGGTGGCAACCCTGACATCTCAGCTGGCTGCCAACGTGAGTTTGTTTACTTCAAAAGACGGCGTCAAAACAGCCTGCTCATTTGCATGATAACCTGCTGTCACAGAGCTTTTATGAGAAGTGTTGCCTATCGAAACTCTGGAAGGAACATAAATCTTTAAGACGCCCACTAATTCCTTTTCTCTGTGTTTGAAGCTACCGTGCATGCATTTAGGCTTTTGCTTGTGTGTGTTTATTTTTGATTTTCCTTAGATGGGATGTTTTTTTTGTGTGTGTTTGTGTGTCTACGGTACATCGAGGATTGTCTCTTTGCTTTTGTCTCAGCCGGTGGGGTTTCAGGAGAACAGGAGCCTCTCCCAAATTCAACCAAGCAGGGAGAATCAAATAGAGATAGACGGGCGCAGAAAGAGAACAGGGAGATGGGGATATGTGAATCTAGACTCAAAAGCGTCATGCGTGGGTGAAACAGAGTGAGATACAGAGACCTCCAACCCCCAGACGAAGCTGTCTTTGTGCTGAGATGCAGATAGATTGACAAACTCCAGTGTGTGACTCTGCTCAGCCCCCCCAACCCTCAATGCCAAGTGCCTGATCAAGCGTGGAGGCAGACAGGGTCTTCGCTTCGGTCCGACGCTTTGATCACAAAGTTGTGCAGAGCTGAATCTGAAGGCTAGAACTGCAGGAAAACTTGACAAATGGGAGAGGAAGAAATTACTATATGGGAGTTATGTAGGGACAGCCAACTTTTCCTTTGTTTGAGGTTGTGTGAAATTACTTGATGTTATCCTACATAAGCTTCATTTCGACCAAAGGAACTATACCCCGGAACTAGGAACCACTGGAGGAACTCACGGTGTTTCCACTGAAGGGACTAGGGTACCGTTGTTTGCAAACTAATAAATCACAATCAACAGTCAGATAGCACACACATCTCGCCGATGTCCGCCTGAGATGTAGCTACGTCCGCATTAAATGTATTGCTCGGAAATAGCAGCCAACATGCAGCAGTGTGTTTACAGCAAACAGCTGATGGAGCTACGCTAAATACTGGGTCCGGAGTTGTTGTTTTAAGTTTTCATCAGTCAGGTTTCCTCCTCTCCAAAACAAGCGGAACAGACACAAAAAAGCTTCAGTGAGTAATATTTAATTTGTGTATTTAACTTCATTTTTCAAGTAACTTGCCCAACACTGATAAATACACACTTGTGTGTAATTTGTGGTACAGTGATTGGTAGTGTAGCTAGTATGACTCATGCACGAGACAGTGTTCACTCAGCTTTGGCTGTACGTCTCAGTGTGGCACATTTACAGGCTTTATAACACATGTCACCACCTCAGGACACCAGCAAGCCACTTTAGGGCCTTGAATTAAAGAAGAGACAATTCACTGTCAACTAGTGTCAAGTCTATAAGTCCACCATTATATCCTTTAGCAACCTCGTGGTTTTTGCAGATAGTTCACAGCCACATTCAGTGTAGTGTTTTACAACATTATAAATAAGAGGATTCTCACAGTTTCTTTACAGTTTAGTATGGTTATAGAAAAGTAAAAGCTAGCTCATGCAATAATATCATGTACAGTATTTCATACTAGCTAGTGATTTGTGTAGCAAAATGATTTAAAAGGAGATATAATCTAAGACACAGTCTGAATAAAATACTAAAAATGGTGTCTCCTATATCTGTTGTTGATACTGACTGGCCCTTAACAGAGTCACAGAGCATCAAAACAGCAGTGGAAAAGACTACCAGTCTCATGCCTTACTGTGCCAAGCCATATGCCACCACTTTCACAACAGGAACCCATATGCGCTTTACAGCTCCCACTCTAATGTTAGAGGCTTGGGATTTGAAAATCTATCTCTGGCTGTGCTGTACTAGAGCCGCATCATACTGTATCTACATGACAGCGCGGTGGGCTGCTGGTGCTATAAGCTTGTTTTATCCTCCCAGTGGGGAGTGTGACTATAGAAATGTCCTCACATGCTGTCTACCCACGGTCCAAAACTAAACACTCACTGTGACATCGCTTAAACATTTACACTACCAAATACATGTAGATATACAAGCATTTGTACAGGAACTACACATTGGTGTATATATTTGGTTAACAACACTAGGGAACTTAAACATCCATGCATGCATGTGAAAAATACTTTTAGCCTACTTACAAAGTAGGTTAAGTATTTTGAGGCCGTCTTGCTTCCTTAATGTTACATAAACTAATTTCTTTATATAATTTATTCTTGAATACATAATGGTGTGTATAGTAAAAGGTTATTTCATTTTGGACTTCAACTCAATGCATATTTGACTTTATCGTTTCATCCAAATGTAAAGTTTAACCATGAACTGAAGTCATGATTATGTCAGATTGTTTATTTTAAGGTTAGGGAGGAAGGGTATGTTGAGTAAGTGTTTGTTAACTTCCATTGGCTGAATGCATTTTAATTCATCTCCTGTATTTCCATCAGAGCGGAAATTTTCCAGTGATTGAGGGCATCTGATCTTGATCTCTCTCATTTGCTGTGCCGCTGCATGCATAATTGTTATTATAATTTTGAATTGAATTTGGATCTTAAATAAAGTATTACATGTGTGTCGATACCCTCAGCATGCTCTCCTAGAAAATGACTCTCACATTAAAAACGTATTTGCTGCTGCGCTGTCATGTTGGATGAAGTACCCGCCACAGACGTCATTTTAATTAGCAGCGTGTTTGTTTTTGGTTTTATTTGATTAAAATGGAGCAGAATTAGTAAAACCAACATCCTGTCAAAGGATGTCAAAAGGATTAAGGAGAACAAATGCTGCCTAACTGGTGAAGTATCGTACCACTCAGTATTTTTTTTATCAGCCTGTGAAGGGGATATGTTTTCCTGCCTGGATTCCGTCCACATTAAATCGGGTTTAAGAGTTCACACAGGGATCCCTCCTCCCCCTCAATCCCCTTCGTCTTTCTACTCACCCTTCTCTGTCACCCCCCCCCCCCCCCCCCCCCCCGTTCTTCTTACTCTTCTCCTCTTCCCTCATTTTGGCTGTATTCTTCCTTACCGTTCCCTTTCATTCCACCCTTCGTTCCCTCCCCTTCTTGCTGTAGTGTTTAAAGGAAATGGCCCAGCAGTAGGTGCTGGCTTAGACCACTGTAGTCGTGACTGTGCGTCGTCCATCTTTCGCCGACACACAACCCCCTTGAGATGTCATTCGCGTCTATAGTGGCGGCCTCTGGCAGCACCAACACTGATGACTTCTCCTCGTCCAGTTCACTGGTTTGGCCCACCGTCAACCTTTACCCCAGACCCCAGGATCAGGACGATGGTCAGAAAAATGGGGGCCGCCTGGGCCGGGCCCCAGGACAGATGGTTCAGCCGTGGGACGCTTTAGAGTCTAATCAGCGCCTCCTTCGGGGCGGACAGGTGGGCAGGGGGGGGTGATGAGTCGGAGCTCACAGGTGGAGTTGGACAGAAATTTGGAGTTGGAGAGATGAGTTGGAGCAGTTGGCATTTCTAAAGGTCAAGACCTTTGCTGCTTTAGCCAGGGACACAGAGTGGAAGAGGCAGCACAGGGTGCTACTGTGTGTTTCTAGATTTGTGAGGTCCTAACATCCTCACAAGGATAGAAAGATGAGGAATTTTACACATTACACATTACACATTTGGGAACACATGCTTTACAGTCAATTAATGAAAGTCCTTGAAAAGTACAACAATGCAAATGAGCATGTGCGTGTTTGTGTTAAGCAGAGATTTTCTGATCGGTCTGGGCATGCTGCCCACCTCTCTGTGTCACACCAGGCCTGACAGGTGTCTCGGGGTCTCTAGCTAAGGATGGGAGAGGATGAGCTGGCAGTATGCACACATACACAGATTTTACAGACTCAGATTTGCACAAGGACACACAAGCATGAACATAAGGCTTCACCAGACACTCGGACATAAACATATATTCCAAAAACACATGCACAAACAAACCCAGATACACACCCAGACACACAAACCAGGTTCAGCAGAGCAGATGGTGTGGCGCCACGGAACATTTGCCACCCTTGTGTCTCCTCTGCATCTTCAGGTGACAGATGAAGACTGGGAGGGCAGACGTTTTTTAACCTGTGTGCCGCTATGATACCCACCATTGTTTTGTGCTCAGTCTCAGTTTGGTACTCATAACTTTTCCCCCCCAAAACATTTAACATGAATATTGATATATATACACATGCAAGTTATAATTTGTGTTAGCTGTACTTTAAATGTTGACTGCTTATTTTACTTTGGCTAGTCGGTCAAATTAATGTTGGGTCCAGTTTTGAGAGTGTAGTTTTATAGTTAGTTTTATATTCAAAAAGAACAAAACAGTATTTTACATATGCATGTTCTGCCTTTTTAAATCTAGTTTTTTATAGATTAGATAGATTTGATTTTTTTTTTTCTGAAGCTGAAGACTGTGTCTCTCTGTGTGTCTGCAGGCACACCTGGTGGCAGCCTTTGAGAAGAGCCTGAGTAACATGACCTGCCGCCTGCAGAGCCTCACCATGACTGCTGAACAAAAGGTACAAGAGCTTAGTTCTGAATTTGAAATATACTATATATGAACTCCAAGGCAAAGGGATTAGAGGGAGGAGAAATGATTAGAAACAGGCAGCAGTTTGACATTGAAATAGTGCAGTGGAAAGTAACAATGTGGAGGTCTGCTGTAGTGGATTAATGGATATTTTTATCTTTTAGGTTCAGTTTCTGACTCATTTGAAAGGTTTTCTAGTGAAGTTTTGGTTTTCACCAAAGGTTTCCATATTAAAGTTTTAGTTGTTGAATATTTCTCTCGCTTTACTTCTAACCTTAACCGAAGATGTTTGACTTGCTTCAACTTTAAATGCTTTTGGTACACAGGCAGGTAAAAGTGTCCAGTTTTGCATGAGGATGCAAGGGTTCAGCATATTCCACGAACCTAAGGCTCCAAACCCTATTTAAAACCAAAACCATCTATTCTCCAAAAGTCCTCCAGCATTTACTTCTCCCAAGGTCTACTTTTCTCCGTTTTCTTACAAGTCAGACCTTTTTACGACAGGACGTTTCAGAACAGCTCGAATGGCACTGAAGCACTGATCACACAGCAGCAGCAATATGTTCAAAGATCTATCCCTGCCACACATTATGAATACTTCCCTCTGTTCACACACCCACACAGAGAGCAAGAGAGAGAGTGCTGACAAGCCCTGGCAGCTTTTTAATCCTCTGTAAATTAAAGCAGACTGGGATCTGGTGGGATGTCTTTGTTAAACAAGGCCGTCCCAACTTTTAATTAAAGCGGAAACCCTATCTGCAGCCCTCAGTGGGTTTTCGGGCAAAGCAGAACTGGAGACTCCCTCTATCTGATTGTGTTGGTTCAACAGAGGAAAGCTTTTTTATTCTAAGCAGGTGGTGCCGGGGTTGGGGCAAATCCACCGGGAGACTCCTTCCCTTCCACTGAATACCAGATTAATGCCAAATTTAAGATTTTGTTTCCAGTGACGGAGGTCATATGTTGATTCCACACATTTGGCCAAAAGGAGAGCAGTGCGTCATCCTTTGTTTAAAAACTGTCTGTCTCTCCAGGAGTCTGAGTTGGCTGAGTTGAGGGAGACCATAGACATGCTGAAGACCCAGAACACAGACGCCCAGACTGCCATCCAGGTGGCGCTCAACGGCCCTGACCACCTAAACAAAGGTAGTGAAGAAACCAGCAGGGGATGTTGGACCACACTTCTCTTAAATCATCTGATGTTTTGATGCCTTAAATTAAATTCCTGTTCCATGAGTGGATGCATTTTTTAGCCTGATTGGCCCCAGGGGGAATTGAACCCCTGAAACTTGAAGTGTTTGTGCTGCATAGGTCTGTTTTGTGAAAGTTGATTAGTCATCGAAACAACCTGAATTGCATGTGTAATCAGTTAGTTTACATGACTTTTTAAAGTATCCAGCCTCCTCATAACTGCCTTTTCAACTGACACCAACAAAGCTAGTTAAAATTCATAAGATTTTCATGTGTTGTTTTCAATCTTTGTCTGACATTTCCACACCGGCTACAAATTGCCTTTACACGCAGGAAACAAAGCAAGTATGTGATCCAGCGTAATTTTATAGCTTTGATTTCAGCCTCACTGCTGTGATGAATGTGTTTAATTGGCAAAACACTGGCTTTTATTCTGAAGGAGTTGCAGGACATGCAACACATTTGCCGCAGAGATTGGCACTCAACCATTCGTCATTCAAATGTGTGTGGAAAGCATGAACTCTGATCACTGATGCAATTATTTTGGGCTGACTTCTTTATTAAAACAATGTTTGGCTGCGCTGTAAACGCTCCGTATTTCAGATCAACGTTGTGGGTTTATCTTCAGTGCACTGAGGAAGATTTTGTCTGTCATTTCCAGACCTGCGAATTAGACGGCAGCACTCGTCAGAAAGTATGTCCAGTATCAACAGCGCAGCCAGTCACTCCAGCATGGGCAGTCTGGGCAAGGACGCCGAGGACAAAAAGAAGAAGAAGAAGAGCTGGGTAGGTGGAGAAGCTTGAAGAAACTTGTCAGCATTGTGAGACAAAAGTCCCAAATAAAAGGAAATCTGAACTGCTCTTCTGCACAAAATGCCATAAAATAATGGATGCCGGTGTGCACTGCAAGTTATACAACTCAGGTGTCTTCATCCATTCAGTCGCAGCAGACTTCAATTTTTTAGGGGGAGGGTTTGTCAGTGAAAGTGTCCAAATTCGGATACATAGCCTATGAATTATTCAGCGGTAGTTCTAATATACTCTGAATGTCTGCATTGAAAGATTAAATGTCTTCTTAACATAGATGAAGGCATTTTTGTGGATGTGTGAAATATAGCTTATTGTGCTGTTGCACCCACTGAAAGAGCTTCAAAATCCGTTGAATATTCATACTATACATAAGCTCAGGAGGACTAGGTTTGGTTGGGATTCCCCTGTATTCTCCAAAAAACTCCAAATCAAAGATAGTATGATCGTTTTTACCCCAAATGGCAATATATTTTTATTGTTATGATTTATTTCTCCATTCTTCTTTCTTCTTTCATCCCTTGTGAAATTGGTGTCAAAAGTGGGTGTTTGTGGGGCCGTTAAAGTAAGGTTCGTGCAGACTACACGACTTCCAGCATCAGTGGATCGCCGTGCTGTTCACACTACACAACTTGCTGTCTTGTGATGGGAGTCTCGAAGTCATTGTGGCGTTCACACTGCATGACTGATAGTGGACAGGGAGTCACACACCACACGAGCTCTCCAAACTACGTTTTGTCAAGAAAGCACACGTGAAATGTGAAACGGGAAATGACGCGACACTACACACGAAACCGCTGTTTGTTATTATATAGATAGGAATTATAAAGACAAAGAATCTGGGTGAAAGGATGGATTAGCACACGCAGGTAGCAGGGATTGTCTGAGCTACAGAGAGAGCTGGAGGTGAGTAAAAAGTGTTTTATAGTGAAAAAGTAGCTGCCTGCTCTCATTGGCTGCATGAGGATGTCAGGTTGGCCGACTCCTTCAGATATTTGGCATGTTAGATATCTGGCTGGCGTCTGCGATGTGTCAGAAATGTCGGGAAGCCGTTTTGATGCACATGAGTACACATAACGACTGCCGACTGCCGATCGATCGCTGATTTACCCCTGATCACAGGCAAATCGGGCTTAAAATCGTGTAGTGTGAACCAGGCTAAGCCTGTGAATAATTGGTTGGGTCCAATTTCAAACCCGTCACTTGACTTCACGATCCAAAAGTGTTTTTTTGTGTTTAGTCACTTTTGAGGTTGGAGGTAGAGCATGTTCAGATACATTCCCATAGGTCATCTGCAGCATCCCAAAATCGCACTCACATCTCGCTGAACCACATAACAGTCCGCCATCACACCCCTGTTGCTTGGTGACAGTGCTGAGATGGTGCCAGCTGAGTGGCTGAGGTGCCATCCAGTGGTGGGGGCTAACAGAGGGTCGAGCAGAGGAGTCAGCCGCCTTCCAATAATTTTTTAAGACGCACTTTGAATTTCACATACAGCAGCATGCAAATTAGGTTGGAAAGAAACAAAGTGGCCACTCATGTCATGGATACTGAAGTTCAGCTTAAAACCAGGGCAAGAGCTATCCAGAGGTTAGAGAAGTGCCAGTTGAATCTCTGTGCCAAGTGGGCAGGTCTGGGCAGAAGAGAAACACTCTAACAAAGTGCTCTAAATCCCTCAGTTACTCAATGGGACTTAGTTAAGTTTGAAAGTATAAAAAGACATGGGACACATCTTTATTTCTCAAAGTCTTCAACAAAGTTCACTATAATTTCTGTCTATAACTGTGTTTCTTTTGTGGCTCAGTTGCAATCAAACCTTGGACATTTACTTTATGCAATACCCATCTCCTATTTCCCTTTCTACTGAGGACGATGTCCACAAATACCCACAAATCAAGGCAAAAAAAAGCCAAGTTATCTAAAAATGCACATCCATAACCATAAAGCTCTTACTCTCCCTCTGTCCTTCTCTCTGATTTCACTGTTCTCTGCGTCACTCTACAATAGCAGCTCAGTGTCCCTGGCTGGAGAGCTGTTATTTGCTGCAGCCCCCTGAGTCAGACAGATGACATATTAGAAGTTCCGTTTCAGCCAAAGAGTGCAGAGCCAGAGCCTCTTTTCAGTCTGTACTGCAATGCAAAACGCTTGCCCTTGAAATGAAATGCATGCAAACAGCCCAAAAGTGTGACACCCTAGCAGGCCGGGTTAAGTGAGATCCCAAAAAATTCAAGTCGGGCTCATGAATACAAATCAATCCCTTATTTAAGAAGCAATTAATTATTCATTTGCATAAATTCTGCCTCAGTGCACACATGGTTGGAGACGCGGGTAGAGTTGAACTAAGGTTACTGAGAGGTAACCTGTAGAGTGAGCAGAAAAGGCGCATATCATGCTAACAGGGTGGCAAAATTAATAGGTAGAGTCCTTCAATTTGAGGCAAGGACATCCTGCCAGCAAGCATCTGACCTGCTGAAGTAGCCTTAAGCAGGACACAGACTCAGGGTTGCTTCTCTGTAGCTGATATCTGACCTCCCTGTGGAAGGTCGCAAAAATATCCGCACAGAGAACCATAAAGTGCATTATTTATTCATTTACTCAGAACTGTAAACATAAATAGACATCATGCAGGCTTATTATTTCAAAAAATGTGAGGGCTGTCATTGAATGCTCAGCCTTTAACATTACATGACTTGTTGTGGATGTGAAAGTCTGTCCGAATGATTAATGTTGTAAAATCCATCCATCCGTTCATTTTCTATAGCAGCTTGTCATGCCCAGGGTAGCAGGGGAGCCTTTCCCAGAATGCACTGGACATTATTGTAAAAATGAATTTACTTGAACTTATATTAAATGAAAGTACTGTGTTTGTGTCTTCTGTTTAGCATAATTAGGGTTCTGCTGATTTCATGCAGTCTTGTCTTATGTGCTTATCGCTGCTTCTTTGGTGCCACATAATGTACTTATACTTACAAAATGCACTGAACTTCTATATTAAAAAAATATTTTCCTAGCATGGGAACCTAATAATAACTTTTCATCCAACTTTTCAAAATTCATCCTGATTGGCACCGAACACTGTAATATGAATTTCGGACCAAAAATGCCCTCAAGTGCCCAGAGACCTACAGCTTATGTCCCAGTTTACAAATGGAATATGTCATGAGCCAAAGGGACAATACTACTTTTATGAAGGATTTACACTGATGGGGGAGCAGGAGTGTGTGTTGGTGTGGCTTAACGCTGGGTGTGTTTTGCATCTTCAGGTGGCTGATTCCATCCCTGCTCAGGTCAGTGGCTCCCAGTGTGTCTTCTGTATGTGTGCCGGAGTTATTCCCCATCCTCTGTCCCTTTGCTCCCGTATTCGTTCCTCCTTCTTCCCCTCAGAGCAACCTCTTCTTTCCCTTTTATCTGGAAACGTCCGCATGGATACGGCAACCCTCCCCTGCCCTGCCTCCTTGTTCCACCCTCCTCCTTTTCATCCTCCCTTGTTCATTGTGATTGCCTGTTCAGCCATCATTTTTAGGGTCATTTAAAAAAGCCCGGTCCCCCCCTTCTCCCTCTTACATTTCCATCTCTACTTACGGCTTGCTTTTTGTCTTTCTCTTTACCTAAACCAGACAGTGACCATTGCTTGGAAACAGCACGGAGTGACTTCCTGATCTGGCAGGATGTGATGTCACCAGAAGTTATCTCTTAGGAACTGACATGTTGTGATCGTAGAGCTCGGTGGGTGGCGATATTGATGTCTTTGCGCCTGTGTATTTGTGTCTGCCTTGCAGTTGCGCAGCTCCTTCAAGCAGGCGTTCAGCAAGAAGAAAACCAAATCCCAGTCAGCCCATGACGAGATGGAGGAGATGAGCGACTCGATGCCGTCCTCGCCCAAACTGCAGCATGACAACAGGCAGGGCAGCATTGCCACGCTGCATTCTTCACCCTCCACCACAGAGTGAGTGCCTCTCCTTTACACATACATAAATGCACACATACAGGTCATTCTCTCCCCTTGTACGTACTTACATATTTCATTGCATACAAATAGAAAAACAGTTAGCAGTTGTTCCTTTTTCACCTCTCTGAAGTCTAAATTCTTTTCACTGTTTTTGTCTTGTTTTCACAAATGTCTCTTAATCCTCACCTCACCTTTATTTTTAACCTCTTTTCTGAACTCTTCTCCTTTTCTTTAACTTCTCTTCACCTGTTGTAGCAAGTGCTTTTGCGATAGCAAGTCCTCCCCCATTTGGACTCCAAAGAAAAGGCAAAACGGTCATGTGGTCTACAAGCACAGATCTCGGTAATAGGCACTGTGTGGCATGCTCCCAGGGAGTGTGTGTGCGGTGGGGTGTTGGTGTGATTTACTTCTGCATCTTAATGCCATAAACACCTCGGTATGTTGGAAGTGATGATCTCTCTGGTTCACAAACTGGACTAAGACCTCTGAGGTGTCCAGTTCTTGCAGAATAAAGGGTGAAATGGATATGCAGTAATACTTTTTTTACTGGTACCAGACTGAATTGGCTCTATGTCACTGCAGAAGTGACCATTGAATTTCACACGGTGAACTACACAAGTGTGATAGATTCTTGTTGTGTTTTTGACTCAGCAAAATAGCTTTGCATCTAATTCTAGTTATTGTATTAGATCTCTGCCTGCGTATTATGAAAATACCTGAATCATGATGATGGGACTACTACCACAGCACTTTTATACTGTAGTTGTTAATTGTGCTAGCAAAGCATTGTAGGAACCACAGCTAGAACACACCTTTGACCTGTCAGATTGCTCTGCTAAAAAAACAAAAAAGAGGATTGTAAATGGGAAGGATTCGCTGTCCAAGTTTCCCATTCACCTCCGTGTTGTACCTGCCTGTGCGGTTTTCACCACTGACTCCAGCTTCCCTCTGAACGTCACTGTGTATTTTTGCTCTCCGGATTGTGTGAGTGTTTGGTATGACCCTTGAGGGTGACCCCCCTCCTCCTCCCTGTGTGTAATCCCCGTTGCAGGCTGTGCGAATGCACCGAAGCTGAGGCGGAGATCGTCCTCCAGCTGAAGAACGAGCTGAGGGAGAAGGAGCTCAAGTTGACAGACATCCGCCTGGAGGCGCTTAGCTCGGCCCACCACCTGGACCAGATCCGAGAGGCCATGAACCGCATGCAGGTGAAATCACACTTTGCGGCTAAACGCAAGTCAAGCTTGTGCTGACCGACCTGGGGGCATCTACTGTATTTATGTTTGACGCAAGTCAAACTGGAACAGCATGCAGAATTGCCCATTTGTCTGATCATAGTGGTGAAGAACTCATATCTAAACATCAAATTAAAATGACCTTTTAAGTTGTTTGCTAAACATGAAGGATTTTGTCTTGCCATCAGTCATGTTTATACCTTTCTTGCTACATGTTTTATTTCTGCAAAGGCTCAGAAGGCAAAACTTCACTCCGGCTGTCCAGTTTATTTGGGTTAAAGTGGTGTGTTCCTCCCTGAAGGCACTGGAGCGTAACCGCTACCAGTTAGGATGTTAACAATGCACTCAGTGGGTCACTGGATGGCGCCAGTGGGGCACCTGGAGGGCTGAAGGACAACTATCTGATCTTACACACACAAAAACACAAACTCATCAACACAGAGCCTCTCACACTATGTCTGTACACATAACACTGTTGCAGTTTAGCTAGTTAATTGTAGTTCATGACATTGTTCCAGGCCTTCATTCTCCTCGGTTGGTGAGGAAAATCTTATAGCCCTTTTTCAACCCATGAGTTCCAGGAACTGTGGATCAAGAAACTCATCTCAGAAATAAAACTGGACTAATGTTCCTAGTCACCTCTAAACCCAGCAAAGACAGCTCAGTTTGACTCTTAAAAGTGGAAATGTAACAGTGAATGGTAAGTAATTAGTAAATAGTAAGGAATTTAGAAATACAATTATTCGCTTTCTTGCCAGGAGTTATATGAAAAGACCACTAGCCTACAACTGGAGCCAGTAGCCAGTTAGCTTAGTTTAGCATAACAACAGGAAACAGGAAAACAGCTATGCAGGTTTTGTCAGAAGTTAACAAAATCCACCTACCAGCACTTCTAAAACTCACTAATAAACACGTTATTTTTGCTAAATCTGTGCAAAAATCTGAAGTGTAATAATGACAAGTAGCTGTTTTAAGGTGTTTATGTGCCAAACTATTTATTGACCACACAAGATATACCATGTTAATTAGTGAGCTTAGTTAGTTTTGATTAGGTGGATTTTGTTGCCTATGAACAAAAAATAGGCGACATTTGGATACTGTGACTTGCCAGCTAGCTTTCCAGCTATCACTAAACACAGAGCCAGCATGCTGTATCACCTCTAAAACTGGCAATTAAAAATAAAAAAATTAAATTAAAATGTCAAGGTGAACACGCATCAGAAATGTAGAAATAAATAAATTTAGTTTAATTGCCCATGAAGCGGAACAAAAAGTTTTATCCTTACAAATACATGTATTTGATTTATTTATAGAATTCTTACTGATGCATTACAATGAGATGCCTTCTATCATTTTAAAGTATAATGTTCCGAGGTGCTGCATCATTTCATATTCTTAAAAGAAGCACATTTAATTAGTTCAATTAGATTGAACATGATAACAGAACAGAATAACAAGCCTGAATGCAGGAAAATGACCGTCTGCTGTTGGAGCAGTCATTACTCAGCGTTACCAGAGTATTTAAATGCTGTTCCTGTCAGATTTTGACTCATTTTCATTCTTTTGTCAAATAAACAGAATGAGATTGAGACGCTGAAAGCAGAGAACGATCGTCTGAAGTCCAGCGGGAACGCCACGCCGACAGCCACGCCCGTCAAGACCGCCAGGCCGCCCTCCGAGACCTCCAGCACATCCTCCTCCTCCTCGCGTCAGTCCTTGGGGCTATCACTCAATAACCTCAACATCACCGACACCATCATGTCAGGTCAGTTCAGTGTCAGCTCTGGTGTCTGCAGCACGTTGATGTGTGAAGTGTTTGTGTAAATCAGCGTTAGCAGCCTGCAGTTTTTTTTTTCTGAGAAGTTGAAGCAGTCAGTGTGGGAGTGGTGGAGGTGAGTGCAACAGACTTAGCAAACCAAAAATAATACATCTCAGAAAGGTTTTACTGGCCAATGAGGACAGAGTATTCAACAGAATATACCCCAGAAACATTCTTTAGGTTTTAAAAGGACAAGTTGGCTCTTTTTGTCTTTAAAAATGTTGGCAGGTGTATTCAGCTATTAAGAATTAAACCCCCAAGCATGGCATTGTAAGTGCCACGTTCTTATGTCTAGTTAAGCCATAGGACACACTTTATGGTCTGCAGCAGCTCTCAGGGCAGAAGCTTTTTTATGTGGCAAAAAGTTGGATTAGCTCTCTCCATACTTGCCTGAATAAATGGGAGACAATTGTGCTTGCAGAGAGAAATGATCCAGAGGAGCCGCATGAAATGATGAAATAGCTGCTCTCTCTCACACACAAAGAAGGCGTGTAGCACACACACACACACACACACACACACATACACATACATGACTATGCTGAAAATCTCTCCAGGCCTGCTCTGTTTGAGAAGTGAAAGAGGTTTGTCCCTCTCACTTGTCCTGTAATTAACATGGAAGGCGCAGCTCTCTCAGAGGCCTTGGGCCCTCGTTAATAGATGGAGGGATGAGCCGAGAGCGGTGACGCGTGGGAAGACGAGTGGGCCAACAGACGTTATCACCGCAACACAGAGCCCTCAGCTAAGGGAAGCCAGTCGAATACAAAGTACCCCCTTCCCTCTCTAAAATGGAGTCTGGAATAAAGAGAATGAAGAGAGGCTTATGGTGGCTGCTGTCAAAGGTTAAAGGTGGCAGGAAACTAAACAAATAAGTCAAACTTGCACAAAGTAGAAACACGGCAACAGACAAATGTTGTGACGAGTATCCTCTATTTGCTGTACTTTTGTATTGTTTGTTATTTTGCACTCTGTGCTAGTAGTAATCCCTCATAGTTAAAGCTGCCATAATCAATATTCGTATATTAACTAAGGATCACCTGACTACTTGTATGTGAAAGCTGGCGCTTGTAAGGACAAACCCACAGAAAAGGATCATATGCCTCTGCAGTTCCCCTCAGCTCCACAGGGCATTGTAGCATGTTCAAGGTTTTGGTTTCCAAGCCCAAAACTGTTCTGGTTCACTCTCACCCGTCTCGCAGCCTTGCTTTTTGCAGCTGTTTTCAGGGAGAATGCTTGGAGAAAGCACTGACAGGCCAGAGTATCTGTCCAGCACAAATGACAGACAGACAAAAGTCGTGGCTTGCTGGTGAACATTGTGGAGCATTCAGCAGCTAAAGAGCCACATGTATTTCTCAGGAGTTGGTGGAGAGCTAAAACAGAGAAAAACACCACTCCAAATAAATGAAAATGTTGCTTCATGTTTATTGCATGTCTATAGGCAATAGGCAACTGTGTGCTGACAAATCCATCAGATCAACTTAAAAGGTGATAATATGTCAGGGTTATGTTTACAGTTGGTTTCTTCTGCCCCCAAGTGAAAAAAAATGGCCAGATATATAGATTGCCAAAATTCAGAGAAGAACTTCAGTGGTATTCAGTAAAATGTGAGGAACAAATGTGAAAAATCTGCTGATAAAATCTGAGATTTTTGACACTGTTTGATTGATCATAAAATCTGAGGGTGGTTACCTATCAATTTTGTTCCACTGCTGTCGTGATCTCCAACGTACTGATCTCTAACATACATCTCTCAACACCTGAAATACCTGAAATAAACCTCTTCCTATTGAATGAGCTCCCATCTTCATGGAATTCTTTGTCTCCCTCCCTCAGACTGTGCTCCATTTAATTTCCTAACACACAGTCATTCTTACATTGTCATGCTGTGCACTCACTAGTAAACGCTCTGTATGAAAACATTGATTAAATGTAAAAGTAATTATCACATGAAAGAAAACCCATTAGTATTCTTTTACTTTTGATTCGGTTTGTCCCTTTCCAGCTATAAATTGCCAGCAGGCAGAGTGAGTTTGTCTATAATGAATCGAGGCTCTGATAGATTAAAGTTGGTTGTGTTTCCTAACAGAAAGTTTTGTTTTCAGATATTCCGCTAGATGACAGCTACGAGGGCAATCTACGCAAAGACGGCCGGAGTGTGCGAATAGTGGTTACCATCAGCAGTGGGCCAAAAACCACCAAGGTTAGTGCATGTGGATTTTACATTGTTTCTCTTTTCCATCTGCCTGTAGTCTTATTTGTTCTCACTCCTTTTGTTTTAATACATTTGACAACTCTTCAGGGTAAACAAAGCCAGGATTACCTGATTGGGTCTATAGGTGTGAGTGGGAGGACCAAGTGGGATGTCCTGGATGGAGTCATTCGACGCCTCTTCAAGGTAAACAGACCATTGCTCATAGGTTCAGGTCAGTTATTTTGGCACATAATTGGTTTATTTTATTCCTACCATGAGAAATGTTTGTCCAAATGTTTTATGGCAGATGTCAAAGTACAGTCACACAAAACACGGTTGTCCATCGGATGGAAACTTTTGAAAATAATGTAGCATTTTATGCCCACATAAGAATTTAAAATTCTCCCTCTGGTCTTTTCAAGTGATGTCTGTATATGTGGTGTAGATGATTTTTCATGCTCCTATTCTGAAAAGGTGTTTATCAGTAATTACCAGGCATTCATTTCATTTAAAATACAGCTATTGAGAATGAAACAGATAGAAAAAAGCATGCACGGGCACTTTTTACTAATGCTGTATCCATACAGCCACACAGACACCCATATTTATTAAAGGCGTTTTATTCCACTTTCAGTAAGTGCCTGGAATTGATCCTGACCATAGATGAATGCATTATTTTACGTCTTTGGAATTAGCTGAGTTTCAATCATAATTATATGAAATTAAGTTAATTATAAAGGTAATTATATGCATACAAAAAAAATAAAAATAGAAAATAGAAACAATCTCTGCACACCCGAATGTGTGACAGGTGCATCAGAGGAAACTGAATAAAACCTGAAAAACTCCTTACTGCTAGTAAACTTATTTATTTACAGTGTTTTGGTCTGCTCGACTTTTTTCGGGTAAGTGAAAGTATAGAAATTAATGCATTATAAAACAATTACAGCTCCAGTGTCAGTTTGAAGATAAGTGTGTTGGACAACAAGAATTACAGCCTGTATGTAAGCATGATCAGCAGTGCAGTTCTTTTTCCCCACTGTCCTCTAACCTCTCTTTCCTCGCAGGAGTATGTGTTTCGGGTGGACCCTCTAACCAGCTTGGGTCTCAACTCAGACAGCATTGTCTGCTACAGGATGGGCGAAGTGGTTCGCTCCCACGCCTCCGAAGTGCCTGAGCTGCTGCCCTGCGGCTACCTGGTGGGCGACAACAACGTCATCAAGGTCAACCTCAAAGGTACGGCAGCAAGGAAACAAGTTTCTATTCCAGGATTACAGATTTTGTTTGGATTCTCAAGAAAAGTGATTTTGAGTAGAGAAATATATTAACTTGAGTCTCATTTAACAGTCTAATGTAATATGACTACATTAATTAAAATTTCTTTACCTCCTTCTATACATGCTATTCCTTGCCTCCCTCTTTCTCCCTTCCTCTTCCTAGGTGTGAAGAGAACAGTATAGACAGCCTGGTGTTTGACGCGCTGATTCCAAAGCCCATCATCCAGCGGTACCTCAACCTGTTGATGGAGCATCGTCGCATCATCCTCTCAGGACCCAGCGGCACCGGCAAATCCTTCCTGGCCGCCAAGCTGGCCAAGTACATCATTTGCCAGATGGGGCAGGAGGTGACTGAGCACAACCTGGCCAGCTTCAACGTGGACCAGAACTCCAGCAAGGTAGGAAGAGGAATTCAAAAAGGGCAGAGACAGGAAAACCAATTGTTCACACACATCACATCTACCAAACAAGGTTGTGTACATCACATGCAAATATTAACAGATCTTTAGAGATGGCCTGGTTGCATTACATTGGCGTATATATTCTGCTGCTGAGTGTGTACAAATTGCTCTCTCTGCCTCGTCTCCCTGAGATAATTGAATGCTGCTTGGCTGTTAATAAACTCAAACATAGATTTACTGCTGTGATTTGAATTTTAATCCATTCTTTTATTAGCTGGCATTTAGAGGTGAACGTACATAAAAAGTTTGTAGGGACTCAGATCATAAACTGTACACTATTATTTATTAAACCTACACTTCAAGCTCTTTACATCCAAATGAAAAGCCATCAACGCTTTCTTCCCCAGGATCTGCGTCAGTACCTGTCCAACCTGGCAGAACAGTGTAACTCTGAGGACACGGACACGGAGCTCCCCACTGTGGTCATCTTGGACAACCTGCACCACATTGGCTCGCTCAGTGACATATTCAACGGCTTCCTCAACTGCAAGTACCACAAATGGTGAGGGAATAAAAGCCAATGTCAAAAACAAATAATAATAAAAAAAACAACAACCTGTATCTCAAATTGAGAAGCCACCCTGGTGTCCATCATTACTGGCCTGACAGCAGTTATTTAGTGAAACAGCTTGATTGTGACTGTGATTAATTATGCGTGTTGTTTCTGCCTCCATCCAGCCCTTATGTTATTGGGACCATGAACCAGGGAGTTTCCTCCTCTCCTAACCTCGAGCTACACCACAACTTTAGGTTCGTGACACACACTTTAACCTCAACCTTGACCAGAAATGTCACACACAACAGTCATGTCTCAAAATGGTGTGTAAATTCTACGAGTTACTCATCACACTGTGACATTGTATCGTTTGCTATGTGTACAAATGTTAAAGGTTCCACAGAGAAATGACTTATAGTTTTGTTTGCTTTGCATCATCTTGCCTGTCAGATAATGTGTTTAGTTTCAGTTCTGTCAACATGTTTTTTTCTCACTGATTGTAATCTAAAGGCATTCTTCCACAGGGAGAGCTGTAATTACATCTCTTGGATAATTAGCCTTTTAAATGAAAATGAATTGGCTATAATGCATGTTCCGAGTGAGGAACAATTCTGTTTGGCATGTTTGACTCGCATGATGATTTGGCAACTACAAAGTCATTAGGGAAAAGTATATAAACGGGTTGGACAATAATTTAATATGAAGCTATTATAGTAAAGTGAAATAATCCCAAAACTCTCTCAAGTCTCGTCATCTCTCAGAGCTGCTTTGATGAGACATCTGGTTCCATTTTGAGCTGATTTATTAGCTCTTCTGCTTCTGTTTCACCATCGATCATCTGTCCTGCTGTAGGTGGGTGCTGTGCACAAACCACACGGAGCCGGTCAAAGGTTTCCTGGGCCGTTTCCTGCGGCGGAAGCTGATTGAGACGGAGATCCATAAGAACATGCGCAGCAATGACCTCATTAAGATCATCGACTGGATCCCCAAGACCTGGCAGCACCTCAACGGCTTCCTGGAGGCACACAGCTCCTCTGATGTCACCATAGGTCAGGTTCCCACACACACACACACTCTCTCTCTCTCTCTCTCTCTCTCGTGTGTTCTGTTGGGCCGATACTGAACCCTTCATGGTGTCTAATTTTAGCCTGTGTCTGTCCACTGAATGCACTAATACTGAGTCTCTAATTACTAGTGAATTAAATATTAATTGACTGACTATAGCTTGAATTAAAAGAGTGTGGTAACCCTGTTAGATGTTCCTGCGCCTCAACTCTTGTGCAGCACATGTGTTGAGAGTCTGCTCCATGTCTTTGGGCCTTTCACCATCATCATCTGGGCTATTTTGTGCCTACAGGCCCCCGTCTCTTCTTGTCCTGTCCCATGGATGTGGAAGGCTCTCGTGTGTGGTTCACTGACCTGTGGAACTACTCCCTGGTGCCCTACCTGCTGGAGGCTGTCAGAGAAGGGCTTCAGGTACGTCCTGGCAACTCTCTGGATCACCAGGCTAGGTGGCTAAAGGATTTGAAAGTTACCAGCCACAATAAATTTCCACTGGCCATAAGAATTCTTTTGAAATTAAAACAGGTTATACGTTTCTATCTGCATTCTATGTAATAGGTACTTTTACTTTTGATACTTGAAGTGCTTTACTTAAGTCAGTCAGCAGGACACCTCACTGTCTGATTTTTATTTCACTTCATGCAACTCTTTGGCAAATCACAAGATGCACATATATGTGAATGAAAATAGCAGGTGAGCTTGGACTCCTCCAAGTCCCTGTACACATAACCTACCACTAAGTGCTGGTTCTTGTGATTGCACCTTTATAGGAATCTAAGAATCTAAATTCAGAAAACTGCCATCAAGAATCCCTGACAAGCAGCTGTGTGTCATGAAAACAGAAAAGCACCAAAAAGCAAATATATATATATATTGTATACTCTTTCCTTACTCGGGCCTGTTCCCCCACATCATTCACATCTCATCTCCCTCTTTGACACGCCTGCAGCTGTACGGCAAAAGGGCGGCGTGGGAGGATCCTTCCAAGTGGGTGAACGACACGTATCCATGGAACGCTGCCTCACTGCAGCAGGACGGCCAGTCACTGCTCCAACTGAGGCCGGAGGACGTGGGGTACGAAGGCTACAGCTCATCCAAGGAGGGGGCCTCGTCCAAGCAGGTGTCTCAGAGTGACACTGAGGGAGACCCGCTGGTGAGATAGACATACACAAAACAATTACAGTGATTATCCTCTAAAGTCAAGGAGCTTCTGGTTTATGTATAGAATTTAAAACAATTAACAACGTAGGAGAATATTGAGGGACTAATTAAAATTGCCCCAATGTAAGAAATGAAACAGTTGTAGTGAATAATGTGCTATGGAGATAAATACATGTCCTCCAAATGAACTGTGACCCAAACCAAATTTTTAATTAAATAATTCAAATGTATCTGCATATATATAGCAGATTTATAAAGTTAATCAATTCAAGGATGCCCATTTCCATAGAAACCTAGTCTTTCCAAGTCTTTTTTCAAGTAAAAAGTACAATAAGTAGATAAGCAAGTAAAGTAGCTAGGTGGTACAGGCTCCTGAACACAACCTTAGCGCACCACACACACACACACAGAAGGATGAACTAATCAGGGAGGGGGAATAGAGAGAGAGGCAAAGTGAGAGAGTAGAGAGAGCTATTTAATTTCCTTTCGGTGGGTTATTGCAGCCCAAGAGGAATTAAAGGGTAGTCATCCAAGCACAACTGGCTTGATTTAGCAAGTGTGTGTGTGTGTGTGTGTGTGTGTGTGTGTGTGTGTGTGTGTGTGTGTGTGTGTACGTCTGTCTAGTGTGCTCAGGCTCATTTTAGGAACACTTGAAGCAATGCACCAGATGCAACAGCACTTCTGCATTATTTAGACCATTAGCTCTGTTGCAGGGATGAGAAGTTCTGTGCAGTTTTATTGTGGTGATTTGCCACAAGGTTTTATAAGTGCTTTTTAGCACGTGTATTTGTAAGTATTTTGTAAGAGAAAATTTGTGAGTCATTAGACTTTTTAGGTTTTTAATAGGTGTTTTAAGCATGGTGGTTGGTACACTTTCAACCAGGCACTGGCGCTTGATCAGAACAGTTTGATTTGATTCTGTTTTGCCGATTCAAGATTCTTGTGATCACTTTAGAGTTCTGGCAGCTGTCTACATTAAGATGGGTAGACACTGTATAGATTGGGCATGATTCTAGCTACAAATTGGTCAAACCCCCGACAAATTTTAGATTTGAGGAAGATTAATCTTAGTCTTGCTTTTGTCCTTTATTACAAAGCACTTTGTGACGTCTTACCTATAAAGGTGCTATATAAATAAACTTAACTTACATACATACTTACATCCCCACTACCACAAAAATATCTAACAAGATAGGAGTACTTAGACACACAAAGTACCTTGTTTATTGGACAGTATTGGTTACTGTCCAATAAACAAGGTACTTTGTGTGTCATCTGACTTTTATTACATTGTATAGAATTAATCTAAACAAACCACTGTGGCTTCACAAAGTAATAAAAGCAAGTTGCACCATAGATAAAGGCCAATAGCATACACACACAGTTGGAAAAACTACTACATAAAACAAAACAAAATTGTAGGTGGGTCTACAGGTTAGTATGACACCTCTGTGCACGTGTTATCTGTCTTCTGTTTTCCACCCCCGGTCTCTGTTATAAGGCGTTTCTTTGTTTGTTTGTTGCGTTTTCAGATGAACATGCTGCTACGACTGCAGGAGGCAGCTAACTACTCCAGCACGCAGAGCTGCGACAGCGACAGCACCAGTCACCATGACGACCAGCTGGACTCCTCGCTGGAGTCGGCGTTATGAGACCAAGAGCTGCGCTGGGAGACCCAGAACCCCTCGGTCGCTACCAGACACCCCTATAGTGCAGAGATGTATGATATATGAAAAGTTTTATTATCCAAAATGGTATACCAACCGTTTCAAAGAAAACACATATTTTTACATAACAGTGGTGCAATATTAAATCAAATTATTGAATGTTCTAAACAGCAGTAGCCAACTTGGTCCTCAGTGGTTCAAAATGATAAACATAAAATCATACAAGTTGGATTATTTTAAACACATTAAACAGTAATGTTAGCTAGTCATTTTTTAATGGATGTATGTATAACATTTTAGAATACAACTTTTCATATAGGCTATGTGTAGGCGGGACACGTCTGTAGTTCCTCTGAAGGTGACTTACAATGAGTAAATCACCTTTGTGCTTACCCACGATGAGCCACAGATTGCACCGTTATTTTAACTTTGGGTGTCAATCTGCATGTGAGGGGGGGGGGGGGGGGGGAGAGAAAGCCGAGAGTTTGACGTGACAAAACTGGATTTTTCTTTTCCTTATTTTTTTTTAAATCCCACATATATCTTCAGATGTTTACAATGGGTTGGGGGTGGGTTCTGTTGTTTATGTCTTTCCTTGTTTACAGAGGTGCTTCTCACACAGACACAGACACAAATGCACTTACTTACACACAGGCAGCAGGAGGACACTGTCCTTTAATCAGAGGGCTTTAATTGGTTCAAGCCCCCATGTGACCAACAATCCAGCCTGCCAAAGTGCCCTTGAGCAAGGCACTATTTATACCAACCTGGGACCTTGCTCCCTGACCCCACCTACTGAGGGATGCAAGTAAAAGGAGAATAATAAGTGTTTTCATGTGATACAATGCCCTCTGGTGGCCACAGTGGAGACTCACAGCTCTTAGAAAACTGGATGTAAACAGTATAGTAAGGCTAAGGCACACTTTTTTTGTCTCATTGTTTACCACCATATCATCTTATTTGGGGGTCTTTGCCTTTTCTGAATATAAAGACAATTATATACCTCCATGATGGCACCAGATGTGGTTGATTTGAGACATTTTCAAAGCCTCTACAGCCCAGCTAGGGGCACAAGAATGACATTTTCATAGCATACACACACACACACACACACACAACACACACTCACACACAACACAAACAAACACACACACCTCCTGCTCAGGCGTCACTTGAGCCTCATGGTGCTGGTCTCCTGCCCTGAGCCTCCTCAGTGTCAGGCACTGCCAAGTCGCTCTCTGCTGCCCTGCATGCCAACAAGCACAACGGCATTGTCTGTGTGTCATCCAGCCACATTGCTACTGTGAAGAAAACGATGGAGTGCCAATGTTTCCCTTTGATTTACTGCCAAATGTGCACACACACACAACCATACACACACAGAGACTACATAACAACGCACAGCTGACCATGCTTGTAAACTTTGATTAAGTTGCTTTTGGCCTTCCACACACCACAGTCCATTTTTTTATTATCTCAGAATGCACAATGAGAACAGCAGGCAGCGCCTTCTGTTGGCCAACACAGACCTGCACCAGTTGACTGTTCGCTAAACCCTTGACCTCTGTCAAGCTTGGATTTCTCCACATGTTAAAGTAGTGTGCAGGATGGTGAAGTGGTTTGAGAGATGCTCCTTATTTTAAGAATTTGGAAGGTGGGGTCTTCGTTAGCATTTCCAAACAGCCACAAGAGCCAAAGTTGAAGGAATAGGTTAAATGGCGTCTGACGTTAGCTGCAAGTGTTAGCATGATCGAGTAACTAGCTCTTTTTTTTAAACGCTCTTTTTTGTATTTGGGGATGTTGACACTCCAGCAACCCCAGTCAATATTAGCCTGAGATAGCATTAGCCAAACGCAGTGCTCACCCTATAAGCCTTTTCTCTTGTAATGTTAAAAAGTGAAAATATGAACAAGTATGTAAGATAAGCAGTCTAACAGAGTTGTGTTAAATCAGTCAGTCAGTCTGATCTTACTTTCTTCTCTTATAGCCTACTTATAACGCTAGGACTCACTAGCTCTTCTGCATTACAACAGTGGTTTATCAACTGCTGAGGGTGCTGACTGTTTACATGGACATGCAGCTTTAATCTCCGTATTTCAGTAGGATATCATGTCCACCAAGTGTAGCCTATATTTAAGACCCATTTACAAGATTATCATTTTAAAATGAATCAGCAGGAAAAATGAATTAGTTAGTTGAATTAGCCAGCTAGCTCCAGCTGATAAAGTCTGTCGACAGCTATCACATCAGCTGACAAAACTGATGCCTATTAGCTGAAAAAGGGAAGCCGGCTTTTGTTAACCTCTATCTGAGATCAAGGACCTATTGATTAAAAAAAATACTGATAATTTGGAGTGGCAAACGTGCTATTGATGTCATTGTAAACTGCATATGTGCGAGAATTGAAAGCTTGAGCGGTGTAGCAACAGTTACGTAGGGGGCAGAGCTTAGCGAACAGTTAATTGTCGATAGCTGAGGTCCTGTGTCACGTGCGTCAACCAGCATGGAGAAGCGGGTGGGGTTTTCTGCAACAGGGAAATTCTGTAAGAAACAGGAAAGCAACAGACTGACTTTCAAAAATGTCTAAGGCTTTTACTCCAACAGATGAGAGCTATGACGTTATTTGATCAATCAACAAAATATCGGTAATGTTGAATTAAACAATGCAAGCCAGCAGTGTCTTGCTTGCTTCTGGTACTCATTTGAGAGTCTTGTTCAGCATCTTACCAAAAAAAAGAGAAAAGAATCCAAAGTATTTTCAAATGCAAGTTAACCAGATCAGCTGAATAAGGGAACAACGATACTGGTGCTTTCTCACTGCCTTAAATGTGCAAAGGTTTGGGAGGCATCCACTGCTCCCACTGGCCATAGTGAGAAGAGGAGATGTTGACGTCAGACGATGATGATCTGCTTCTTGCTATGTCAAAGAAGCTGCTTGTACTCTTTTGTTTTTTGTCACTCCCTCTTCCTCCAAACCGCCCTTTCTTGTTTCTGACAGTTAAAGTATAAAAGAGTTGATGCTGTATTTGAAAACTTTGAAACTGACCAATATTGTAAAAACATTTAAAAAGGGGTGGGGTATTTTTCAGTTGTTGTTTTTTGCCCAGTTGAGCTGGGCTCACTTGAACTGACAGGAGCACAACCAAACTGTTTTGGGTTTTCTAGCCTGACGAGCATGTTTTCAAGCTTTTTAAAGGGGGATGCATTGAGAAGAGACCTTTAACGTTATGTATGCGTGTATTGGATGGAAGCCATTTTGAATTTTGATTGTCCTCTCTTTGTTTAACGAGTGGGTTGGTTTTGCACACTTTGAGGTCGGGGTGGGTTGTAAATACTTAAGTCTTGCACAGTGAATCAAAGATGCATTCTGCCCTGTTGATGTAACAATATGCTTAATCCGCTGAGTAAATTATTGTACTTTGAAAACAAAGAGAAAAAAAAGAAATGCAAAAACTCAACACGCTGTCAGAAAGAGGTGTGTGTCTTGTGGTGATTGGATGTTTAGCCTATGCAGGTGGCAAAAGGTGTACAGTAAGAAACTGTTTTTTTTAACTCACTGAAAATCAGACTGAGAACACAAAAAAGGCACTTTTCCAGTATTCCCCCATTCTGTCACTATATACTCTGGATCCTCTCCGTCTTTAGGAATGCCTGCTGTTTCTTGGAAGCACTTCCTCTCTGGACATTTTAACCCAAGCTTACCGCCACGTTACGCTTGCCAGCTGTCCGAGGCACTGAAGCTGACCTGACACCGTACTGTAAACATTTACCAACAACCAACAGGTGCTAATGGTCAGTCAAAGCCCATCATAGACCAAGAAGTCATGTTGTCACAACCTCAGGACAATCCTATCCCCTACAATCCTACCTGTGTTCAGCTTCACACGTGTCTCTGCAGCCAAGCCTCCGATGGTTTGAATCTGGCACACTTGGCCAGCCTTGTGTCCGCAAGTGTGTGTAGTTGTATGGGAAGGGGGTAGTTCGTACCTAGACTTACACCCACGTGTCAAACCTTAGCTTAGATCTCCCACAGTTCACCCTCTCAGCTACTCTACACTCCTATACACCATAGTGTTGATGATCAACTGGTAATTTTTCCCACTTAACACTTTGCAGTTAAATCTCAGTTGAAAACCATAGCATTTATTCTGGTTTGAGAGAAAGTTTAATTCTTTTTGGGTGAAACATTTGTCCTTAAATGTTTTATATTTTGTACATTTGTATGTAACATATCATGTAAATAGACAGAGACAGTGATTTAACTCATCTGGAGGATTTTGTAGTCTTTGTAAAGCCCTAATAAATGGTATTTGGTGTCACACGAGCAAACAACATGCTGAGCCCTTTGTCTGTGTCCATTAAATGTGTGTGTGTGGTCTGTTTTGGCCAGTTTGTGGAGTGGAGGGTAAATGCACCAGATCTGAGTAGAGTAGCCAAAAATTGTACTTTTACATTAGCAAGCACCCAAGTAGAAGTGAAGGCATTCAACACAATAAAAATTCTGTATAAGTATCTAATGAAAAAGCTATATAAGTAGTGAGTAACTTAATTAGCAAAAAGTAATGTATTCAAGAGTTTCAGAATATTACAGTGTCCTTGTACTTTGAGAAATTTGCTTCTCACCTTGAGTAATAAATTTGGAGACTCCCAGCTCGGCTGTAAACAGTATAGTAAGACTGAGGCACTCTTTTTGTCTCATTGTTTACCACCATATCATCTTATTTGGGGGTCTTTGCCTTTTCTGAATATAAAGACTGTCAGAATGAAGCTAATGTTAGCTGTAACTAAGCTAAACTGTAGAGCTGTCTTTAGCATTAAGAGTACTGTACTGTACAGCAGTTTAGCATTAGGGGTCATCAGTTAAAATATGAAAGCTACACTGTACCCACAAGCAATGTGTCATTATGTGTCATGGCAGACAACTGGTAAGAGCTGTTATTCAATTCAATTTTATTTATATAGCGCCAAATCTTAACAACAGTTATCTCAGAGCGCTTTCATAAAAGAGCAGGTCTAGACCATAGTCTGTGATGATATTTACAGAAGTCCAACAGTTCCCACCAAGAGCAAGCACTAGGCGACAGAGGCAAGGAAAAACTTCCTTTTAAGAGGCAGAAACCTCGAGCAGAACCATGGCTCAGGGTGGGCGGACATCTGCCTCGACCGGTTGGGGGTAAGAGAAAGAGAGGAACAGAGAGAAAGAGAGAGAGGGATAGAAGGAGAGAGAGGGGAGGGAGGCAGCCAACACAGTATACACACAGAGGTACAGTAAAGGTGATGTTGCTATGGACTAAATGAAAAATGGTACAGATATTTACAGTAGTGTTAATGATAATAATCGTAATGTTAATGATTATAATAACAGTAACAACAATAGGACTAGTAACAATAGTCGTTGCAGCAGAGGGTGTCGAGCAGGAACACGGGGGCAGCAGGTGACCCGCAGCCACAGATCCAGACTCCACAGCTCCAGAGCCAGAAACACCTGCAGGAAGTGATAGGAGGAGAGAGGAGAGGGACGAGAAAGCACAAGACTATTGGAAAGGGGAGAAGTTGTGTTGGTAACATGCAATAATAGGATGAGGTTGCATACAGAGGGAGAGAAAGTAGAGGAGAGAGGAGCTCAGTGCATCATGGGAAATCCCCCGGCAGTCTAGGCCTATAGCAGCATAACTAAGGGATGGTTCAGGACTCACCTGGGCCAGCCCTAACTATAAGCTTTATCAAAGAGGAAAGTCTTAAGCCTACTCTTAAATGTGGAGATGGTGTCTGCCTCCTGAACCCAAACTGGAACCTGGTTCCACAGGAGAGGAGCTTGATGGCTGAACGCTCTGCATTCTGGGAGCACAGTGCTCTGGTGGGATAGTACTATGAGCTCTTTAAGATAAGATGGTGCCTGACAATTAAGAGCTTTGTAGTTGAGAAGAATGATTTTAAATTCTATTCTGGATTTTACAGGAAGCCAATGCAGAGAAGCTAAGACAGGAGAAATATGATCTCTTTTCCTGGTTCCTGTCAGACAATTATATTAAAAATATAATGACAATCTGCATGTCACAATAACCTTGGTATGTCAAGTATAGGCAACAATACGTCAAATGTGAGCTAAATTAGTATTTTTTCCTGTAGAAAACGTAAATGCTTGCATTAATGCTATATATATGTGCATCTATGATAACACTAAATGGCAGGGAACTACGATGCTGTGTGTAGTCAGAGGATACAGTCGAATTACAAATGAATCGAAATGTGTAATGGTCTATATTCTCACAGAATGTAAGATTGGATAGACTGAAATGTCAATTTAATTTAATTTTAAAAAGCCTGTATGAACATTCTGGAAACCTAGCGTTTTATTCTGAAGGACTAAATGACATGTGGCATTCTCTTCCGGGGAGCTCGCAGTACCAGCTGTATCCAAAGCAAAGATGGGAACAGGCGCGAGAGAGTCAGAAGACCTTAAAATGTTTAAATCTAAAGCAGCGTCGGTCCCTTTACCGAAATACTCCTATTGGTTTGACTTTTGGGCATTCGTGGTCTTTGACATCGTGTTTTTCCTCGTCATGTATTTCATAGTGCCGTAAAAAGGTAAGTGTTTCTAGCTAACGTTGTAGAATTGAGAGGGCGCGGCTACGGAAGTTGCTAAACAAACTTAGGCTGCGGTCGAAAAGTCAAAAATCTCCTTTCCTAAGCATTTTTCCTTGGTCTTGATTGAAAACGTCATGAGGTCAAGGATAGATGTGAAGGGTAATTCATAGGTCGACTTGGGAAAAGACGACCGCGGTTCTAAGAGAGTCCGACTGCTCTTTTCTAAGCGACGTAGGATGTAACTGACGTGACCTGCCGTGACGAAACTACAATGTTCTGAAGATGGACTACAAAAAGCGCATGTTTGACACTGCGCCCCGCGTTGTTTTAATGCAGGCCATCTAAAGGTGAACAGTACAGTGGACTGCTACTTCAAAACCAAGATAGCAAAAGGCCTATACCAGTCACCAAATAATGGAAAGGGTTGTGCTGCCCACCCATATTTATCAACATGAATCCTAATTATTACATGTAAACACAGTGTTTTCCACAGAATGACAGCGTAACTGTGAGAGAGAGAGGGAGAGGAGGTGCTGCTGTGTAATCAAAAACGATTTTACCCATTTTAAATATTAAAAAAACAATTAGTGGCGGTCAGTGCTGATAATGTGGCAGGGCGCCACAAATAAATCCATGTGTGGGGAAACACTGAATAATATATTACATTTACTGAAGTCATCCAGCTTGATCATTGCCTTTATTAAGGCGAAGGTGTCAGCATCTGTGACTGAAGTAAAATTAATTAATGATGCTGAAGGCTGGCAATACAGTGGCCAAAAATAACTAATACTGAGCATTTAATGTGAGCCTACAAGCTGCAACATTATCCTCACTTTGATCATTTTACAAGATGAGTAACATAGCTGGCGTGGTTCTCATTTATTGTTGACTGTTCAAGACATATGCATATTAGCAAGTTATGGCATAATGAAACATAAAATGGTGTTGAAACAGTATCAGATTACAACAAAGGCAAAAGAAAACAAACCAGAAGAAAGAAGGAAACTGTAAGTGTCTTATTCAAGTATCATAATATGCGTTAAAAGTGGTCAATGGATTTTATCGTTTAAGTTTGAGAATGTGCGTCGCTTTAAATGTCGCTGCAGCAAGAAATTGTGGGATAGCAGTGCACCCTCTGCTAAAGGAGATAAGAAAGGAAGCATTGAGGCACCTTTCCTTAGCTTTTAGAGAATTCAACTAGCTGACTGCCACTGGAATACTACTTGTTCACTTCACTCAGTTAGGAACCTTCCTAAGCAAAAAAGTTTTTTTGATTGCAGCCATAGTATTTGTAACCAAATGGGAAGTTGTAGACTATTTGAGTAACCTTAACGCTATTAAGTTGTTTTCGGCCTGTCAATGCCATCACTGTACACTGCTCAAAAAAATAAAGGGAACACTAAAATATCATCCACAAATTATCAATGGAAATCAAATTAATCAACCCATGGAGGTCTGGATTTGATGTAATGTCCTTAAAACAAGTCAAAATGAGGCTCAGTAGTGTGTGTGGCCTCCACGTGCCTGTATGACCTCCCTACAACGCCTGGGCATGCTCCTGATGAGGTGGCGGATGGTCTCCTGAGGGATCTCCTCCCAGACCTGGACTAAAGCATCCGCCAACTCCTGGACAGTCTGTGGTGCAACGTTGCGTTGGTGGATGGAGCGAGACATGGTGTCCCAGATGTGCTCAATTAGATTCAGGTCTGGGGAACGGGCGGGCCGGTCCATAGCATCAGTGCCTTCCTCTTGCAGGAACTGCTGACACACTCCAGCCACATGAGGTCTAGCATTGTCTTGCATTAGGAGGAACCCAGGGCCAACCACACCAGCATATGGTCTCACAAGGGGTCTGAGGATCTCATCTCGGTACCTAATGGCAGTCAGGCTACCTCTGGCGAGCACATGGAGGGGACAGTACTGACCCACCGCCATACCGGTCATGCTGGAGGATGTTGCAGGCAGCAGAACGTTCTCCACGGCGTCTCCAGACTCTGTCACGTCTGTCACATGTGCTCAGTGTGAACCTGCTTTCATCTGTGAAGAGCACAGGGCGCCAGTGGCGAATTTGCCAATCTTGGTGTTCTCTGGCAAATGCCAAACGTCCTGCACGGTGTTGGGCTGTAAGCACAACCCCCACCTGTGGATGTCGGGCCCTCATGCCACCCTCATGGAGTCTGTTTCTGACAGTTTGAGCAGACACATGCACATTTGTGGGCTGCTGGAGGTCATTTTGCAGGGCTCTGGCAGTGCTCCTCCAGCTCCTCCTTGCACAAAGGCGGAGGTAGCGGTCCTGCTGCTGGGTTGTTGCCCTCCTACTGATGTACTGGCCTGTCTTCTGGCAGCGCCTCCATGCTCTGGACACTACGCTGACAGACACAGCAAACCTTCTTGCCACAGCTCGCATTGATGTGCCATCCTGGATGAGCTGCACTACCTGAGCCACTTGTGTGGGCTGTAGACTACGTCTCATGCTACCACTAGAGTGAAAGCACCGCCAGCATTCAAAAGTGACCAAAACATCAGCCAGGAAGCATAGGAACTGAGAAGTGGTCTGTGGTCACCACCTGCAGAACCACTCCTTTATTGGGGGTGTCTCGCTAATTACCTATAATTTCCACCTGTTGTCTTTTCCATTTGCACAACAGCATGTGGAATTGTTTGTCAATCAGTGTTGCTTCCTAAGTGGACAGTTTGATTTCACAGGAGTGTGATTGACTTGGAGTTACATTGTGTTGTTTAAGTGTCCTCT